GCTTTTACTTATGAAACGAAAACGTAACATTTAATACATTTACATATATTATACATGTATATACACGTTTATCGGTCCACAACACATGTACCATTTAAATTAGGGACTTATTTCTTGGATTCCTTTTTTTTTTTTTTTTTTTTTCTTTCTTTGAGCACGTTTATCGGCCCACAACACAGGTACCTTTCAAGTCAGGAACGATTTGCCTCTAAAAGCATATTATTATACATGTATGTTATTAGTTATATGATATTTGAAAAAAAATACATGATCCCTCTATATAAGACTTTTTTTTATTAGATTGTGTTAACAAGAAAAATATCTAAAATTTTATATGCATCTCCAATGGCAAGTCTTTAGAGGGCCAAAAATTAAGAAAGAAAAACTAAAGTATTAAAATACCAAGATATCAAAAATGTCAAATATCAACTATGTTAATATTTTATTTGTTTCTATAGTTATTCTTACTTACCGGAAATAAAAAATTTCTACAGCTATTATATTAGTTATTACAGCGTTTCTATATTTTGTTCCAAATAATTATGTTCTTTAAAAATTTGAGAGATTTTGTTTTGTTAGAGTGGTATACTTTTTATTTTGTTTTATTTTTTTATTTTATTAATCTAACAATGATATATCTTTGTCAAAGTAAAATAAAAAAATGTTCAGGTCCTGTGTCCTATAATTAACAGATTTCCAATAAGTATGTTACGTAGTAGACATCGTTCTAAAGAATTGATTGTGTGCTAGTTTTAATGAAATAACATAAAAGAATCGGATATATGTTTAAAGAGAGAAACTATTGAATGGAGGAGATATTGGATAGAGAATCAGAGATGGTGGTAGCGTTCCTGTAAGATAACATATTACTAGAATCTGCTTAATTTTTAAAAGAAGGAAATTGTCGGCAGTGGTGTAAACTTGTCACATAACCCTAATCTCTCTGATCAGAAAGAGAAAGCTGATGACGGAGATAGATTACTCAAGGAAGTGCTAAGAGAGAATTGGGAGAGATATAGAGGGTAACGTTGTCTAAATAAATTGTTTTATTATTTGTGAGTGAATTGATTGACAAAATTATTCTTGGGAGGTCACTTATTAGTAATTAAATTTTAAATTTTAAATTTGTTAACTATTCTATCTTTTTTTAATTTTGTGATTATCATAAGCTAATTTTGTTTAAGTTAGGTCATTAAAATCTGAGATTTTCCGTTAATATTTCTTCTTTTCCGGATTTGGGCAGGTGTAATTGGGTGTGTATTAGGGTAAAATTGGAAAACCAGTTGACAAAAGTTTTCTATTGAATACTCTGTGTAAACCTAAGGCTTTGTTTGGTTAGGTGGAAATAGTTAGAAAATATAGGAAAGAAAATTTTTAAATAATTTTAGAGTTTGAATAGATAGAAAGAAAAAAACTAATGGAAAGTTTTGTTTCCATACTTGTTTATTTTCTCTCAAAACTTTTCATGCACAAAACACAGGAAAATAATTTTTTTTGTGTAAAATGTTTGCCTTTTTACTTGACATTCTTATTTTATCCATTAACTTAATCATGAAAAATAATTTCTTCTTTTATTTTTGTACTGGATTTCTAAGAATCAAATTCTCTCCAAAACATTTTTTTTTTTTTTTTTGGCACAAGTTCATATATAATTGGCAACAACAAAATACAATCAAATCTCTCAAAAAAAAAAAAAAAATATAGTATTGTCATCAATACATCTTTTTTTAATTTTCATTTCTCATACACTAATAATTAGTCTTATTTTAAATATAAATAATTATATTATTAAATTTAATAATCCATTATTTTACTATTTCTTTACTAAAAATAAACATCAACAAATTTAAATTCATTTATTTATTAATATTTAAAATTATAAGGGTAAATTTAGTATTTTTAATCAATTTCTTTTCGCTTTTCTTTTATTTTTCGTTCCTTTTCGTTTTTTTACTTATTTCCATCTAACAAATGGAGCCTAAAATTGGGTCCCAAGAAAGGTAGGCGGGTCTCCAATAGACTTGGCTACATATTTCCAATATTCTTCATTTTTGCTTGATACTCGTCTCTTTTCTCGATTTCTTTTGAAGGGATGATGGGGTTCATTAACATTCAATTGTAAAAGACGCACACTCTCTTTCTCTATGAGAGAGAGAGATAGCGCAATGGGAGACTCATCGTCGCCGAGGAGTAGCCTGTAGCCGTGCTGCCGGACAATCTGCGTTGCAATAAGAGTGATGGTAATTTATGGCGGTGCAAAGGTTGGTGGATCCACCAGAAGATCATGCGAAAAGCAATATATTCAATCTCTTCAAAAACTCTTTCCAAAAATCCAAACAAAAGTCCACTATTTCTGTTTCTAGCGTTTTCAAGAGCACGACCACCGAGAACCACCTCACAGGCGGCGGCGGCGGCCGCGGTTTTTTCGGAAATAAGCCCAAACAACTAGGGCTTTTCTCGACACCAAACAGCAAGAATAACTGAGATTCAAGGTACGAACCCGCTAGTTAGTTACTTACACTCAGGATAAGACAAGGTTGTTAGGATTAGGATTCTATGCAGATCGATAAGAGGGGTCCATGGTGTCGAATCCATAGTATCGAAATCGTGGATCGATAACTTACTTTCTAAATCAATTAACATAAACACTAAAATCTATTTTGTTTTTCCAACAAAAAAAAAAAAAATCATAAAAGTAACGAGGTTGTTAGATTAGGATTCTATGTAGATTGATAAGAGGGGTCCATAGTATCGAAATCTAAGAAATATTAACGAGTCTAAATCAATTCACATTAAAAGATTACTTGACAAGCAATTTAGTCTCACTTAAAAGCAATTTAGTTAAAAAAAGTTACTTTTTGGTTTTAAAAAAGGGATTAAAACAGAGATAGAAAGAACTATGGAAAAAGTGGAAAAATATAATTCTTTCTTTTTTTTAGTACTGAAAAAAGCATGATGAAAAAATAAATTAAGAAGAATAAAACAAAGTAAAGGAATATTTTAAAGTTTTGAACCATTCCTTTGAAAGTAGAGTTGATCCTCATTAATTGTAAACCCAAATAAATTGTCGGAGAAGAATAATAGAGATTCTACTGAAATTTTACTTCCCAGTTGGATAATCGAGATCGGTTTCATAACTTGGGTATAATTTCTAATATCCAAATTGGGATTTTAACAACCTTGGGACAAGAAAGAAACATTACGTCGAAATAAAACATCATGCAATGCAAATTTACATAGGGTGTTAGTTACCAAGGATTAGGGGTAGATAACAACCATGGGATAAGAAAGAAACATTAAGTCATAATTTAAATAGGGTAAATTACACCATGACTTTTAGGTTATTTCTTACATAAATTTAGATAAAGATTTTGGTTCGTGTTTCACTTATAACCCAAATGTTAATAATGTCGAAGTAGGTATAAAATGACTATGCTACCCTTTGACCTCTTTATTGACCATTTGTTTTGACCAAACTACCCCAAACACAATCACCACCACCCCTGCCTTCTCTCTCCTCTTCTTCCCCAAATCCACCCAGCAGGATTTTATGCTTTCATCAAAACCTTAGTGCTATGTTTGGTTGGGGGGGAGGATTGAGGGGGGATGGATGAGAGGAGGGATGAATAAATATTTTCGTGTTTGGTTGGAGGGAAGGGAAGAGAGGGAGGAAACAAGGAAGGATGCTTCATCCCTTATTCCTTTATGTTTTTCTATCCCCCCACTTTTGGGGGGAAGGAATGAGAGAAAGAAGGCATAACTACCTATGAATTGGTAATTTAGAATTTTAACCTTTTCAAAAATTTTAAAATAAATATCTACTTTTTATAATTTTATATAAAATGGTATATTGGTAAAAATAATATAAGAACTATCCTTCCCTTCCTTCCAACCAAACAAGAAAAAAGTATCACTCCATTCATCCTTTCTACTATCCATTCCATTCAATCAAACATAAAATGGGAAAGACACCCTCCCTTCCCTAGGGATATCTTATCCATCCCTTCTCTTATCTCTTCCATCTATTTTTCCATCCTTTCAACCAAACGAAGCATAGGACACTAAAAGAACAACCTAAACCAAGAGGTGACATATCCACTACATAGAGAAGCCATACCAATATACCATAGACTCATCCTCAGCAACCTGAAACACGTCCTCCCTCCCCTCTTCCTTCAATATATCATTCTTCATCTCAGAGTTGATTTCATGGATCTTGTAGAAATTGTCCAAATTAATTCACTATAATACTTCCTTGTCGACCAGATTATAGAATTTTATTTAAAATTTTTTTTTTTTTTTCATTTGTTAGGTATATATATTTAGCAGTGAATCTACTAAATTTCTAAATCAGATATAATCTCTCTCAATTCTAATTCATATTCTACCTCCCAACAGTGTTGTAAACTACTCTATTAGGAATCTGTGATATAGTATAATTAGTATTGATCTTTAGTACATCTTTGTACCCATATAGTTAGAAATTATCTTTGGAAAATTCAAAGAAATGATTTGGATTATGTCAGAGCTTGATGGGGACGCAAACATGGATTGAATCTTAGAGTGCTTGAATATATATATATATATAGGGGCTTTTTGTCATTTAAGATTTTGGATGTTTTGTATTAAAAAATTGAGGATAAAATGGTCAATTTGCATATATAAAAGGCCAAAAAGTAAATTGGGGTTTATGAAAGTTAAAACCAAAATTCATCTAGCTAAAAAATGACCTAACTGCATGGGGTCTGAGTGTAATTTACCCATTAAAATATCATGCAATGCAAATTTATATACGGTGTTAGTTACCAAGGATTAGGGGTGGCCATGAATAGGATTAGGCATCAATCCTGATCTGAACCCAACTAATTGTGAAAATCTGAATCTGCTGGGGTTGCCCCAAATAGCCTCATATTGTTACTTTTTAACCATGGCCCAATAGATAAAATTACAATTTATCATCATTAATTCATATATTTAAATGATCACATGTTCTATTGCAGCAACAATTGCAGAACCTCTATGGTTGATTTTCATAGAAGCTGTCCGAATTGTTCCTATGATCTTTGTCTGACTTGTAGCCGAGAAATTCTGAACGGATGCTTGCGAGGAGGTGGCGATGAAATTTGTTTGCAATATTCTGACCGGGGAAAATCTTCCTTGCATGGATGGAAACCTCTCCCTTTGCCTTCAGATCACAAAGTTTCTTTGAGTTCTTCCATTGAGTCTAGTTCAGAGGAGGCCAATTTCAGAGCGGAAAGCAAAGGAAACTGGTGTCATACCTTGCCCACCAAAGGAAATGGATGGTTGTAGTCATGATCGTTTGGAGCTGAATTGTATTTTCCCAAAGAGCTGAGTCTCAGAGTTGAATAATAAAGTAGATAAAATTGTTGAAGTCCATGAACTTGCAGAATTTCTAAGCAAATTGTCATTGGTAATGGAAACTGAGGGAATCTGCTTATAGAAAAGATTATGAAGACAACTACTTGTACTGTGCTCAAGTGATATCTATCGGGAGAGTCTGTCTCATCAATAGTTTCATCTATTTTTTCTACTTTATTCTTCAACTCAGACACCCACTTTTTGGAAACATAGACTTCAGCTCCAAACAATCACCGTCCATTTCCTTTGGTGGGCAAGGTATGACACCATTTTCCTCTGCTTTCCACTCTGAAATTGGCCTCTTTTTATCCTCTGAACTAGATTCAATGGAAGAACTCAAAGAACCTTTCTGATCTGAAGGCAAAGGGAGAGGTTTTCCTCCATGCTAGTAAGATTTTCCCCTGTCAAAATATTGCACACCAATCGAAAGTGTTGGAAGATGATGCTCCTTCATTTTAGGGATTAGATTGTAAGGCAGATTGATTGTTGTAAATTAGGGCCGTTGTTGGATATCTCTGCAACATGCTGTATTTTCATTTCTTTTTTTTGAAAACCAGGATTGGTGAAAGCAAATATGGTATTATTCTGTTAAACAATATTTAGTGGTGAAACATTTTGAAAATCTTCTTTACTTTGAACTCATGATCTTGTCCATCAATTGTAGGAGATGATTGTGCTTAACATACACTTCAGCTCCAAATGATCTCCATCCATTTCCTTTGGTGGGCAAGGTATGACACCATTTTCCTCTGGTTTCCACTCTGAAATTGGCCTCTTTTTATCCTCTGAACTAGACTCAATGGAAGAACTCAAATAACCTTTCTGATCTGAAGGCAAAGGGAGAGGTTTTCCTCCATGCTAGTAAGATTTTCGCGTCAAAATACTGCACACCAATAGAAAGTGTTGGAAGATGATGCTCCTTTATTTTAGGGATTAAATTGATTGCTGACAATGAAGAGCAGATTGTAAGGCAGATTGATTGTTGTAAATTAGGGCCGTTGTTGGATCTCTCTGCAACATGCTGTATTTTCATTTCTTTTTTTTGAAAACCAGGATTGGTGAAAGCAAATATGGTATTATTCTGTTAAACAATCTTTAGTGGTGAAACCTTTTGAATATCTTCTTTACTCTGAACTCATGATCTTGTCCATCAATTGTAGGAGATGAGTTTGCTTCTTCCTGATACTTTGTCTTTTGAGACAATAATGTTTCCCCCACTCCATATAGTCTTTGACATGGCAACAGAACACACTGAAATTTTGCCTGCTTAACAAAAGCTTTTTGTCCACCATAATCTGATGAGACCCAAATGCATAGCTTGTTTTATTTGAGATCTCCCACAATGGATATTATTGTAATTTCTGAAGCTCCATGTTTAGTAGGTTTGAGCCTACCATTACGAAGGAAATAATGAATCCCCTTCATTATATGTTTCTCTCTCTTAAGCTGACAAGTTTCTTAATGTCAAACTTCTATTGCTTTTGAGTTCAATATTTAGTGATTTATTCGGCTTGTTTGAGGCTCGCCTTGTGGAGAGTGGGATGAGGACTTTGAGCCAAACAGAATCTTGTGGATCATTGATCAGTGACAATGGTTTGCGGAGAACTAGCGACTTGTTTTGGTGCCCACTTTAGATAGAAGATGTCTGATTGTGTTGGAAAAGGTTTATCACTCGTGCTTAATAACTTGATTGTGGAACTCTCCTATTGAATGTGCATATGAAACTTTTGATGTGATATTATGCATCAAGTCTGCAATCGGGGGCTGCAATTGGGGAAGGATCTCCCCCATCTCAAGCACTGTCTTCGTCTGACAAATTAGCATGCAGGTAATGACATGGAGGAAATGTGGAAAGGGGGGTTGGCAATGTAATATATCTATGCTCGGAGATATTCTAAAATTTGTAGATGTCCCAATTGGATAGTTGATGTGCCTATACCATTCATTAGCGATTTTGGATAGGCCTTATGTTTAGTGAAATTGCTGTGAAATGCTGGAATTTAGTTCAAAACTCTTTGGAACTGTATGCAGCAAATAAACTTATTGTGGTAATACAATTTGATGAACTCGTAGCTTTGCCTTTGAACATGGGAAGAAGATCCTCAAAATTGGGTTTTACACTTGCAAGCACCTTATAGGCCACGCACATACCAAAGTGAAAAATTAGCAGCCCCCACGCACGCAGCAGCTGTTTTTCAGTTGCTTAATCTGAAGTTTGTTTTGAATTGTTGAGTTTTATATAGACAAGCTTGAGCCTTCTCAATGACCACATCAACCCTATCCCTCCGATCATGACCCTTTCGGAATTTTTGCTTGGGTGCTTCAATATCACCTTCTATTATTTTAATTTCAGAACTGGACTTCTTCCTCTTCCTGCTGGTTGATGATACTGTTCAACACCATTTAACACAACAACTTTATACAAATTATACAAATGAGATTAATTAATATTGATAACTAGTAGTAAAAAAAATAAGAATAAGAAGTGACCTTGTGTAGTAGCAGTTGAAGAGGGAGCCAAAGAGTTTGAGTTGGCATTCAAGTTTGGGGATTCAAGTAGAAAGATGAAGGACTTGAGCTCTAGCTGTAGATAGCCAAACCTATTTGGGTGCTGGGCTTCAAGTATCTCTAACTCTACTTTTACTTGTTATTGAATCCTTAAAAATTAGAAAACTATTCGATGGTCCGGTAAGACCTACAGAAATACACCAAAGTAGCAGATGGTCCAAACGTACACATCTCAAACGGTTCTATTTTAAAAGATTTTTGGGCCCAAAATAGCGATTTGGGCAATCCATTGGACCCGCTGAAATGTGGGCCCAAAAATTTTAAAATTTGAGAGATTTTGTTTTGTTAAATTGGTAAACCCATTATTATTATTTTTATTTTTATTTTTATTTTTTTAATTTATTAACCTAACAATGATGTATCTTTGTCAAAGTAAAAATAAAAGTACTATTTTTTTTGTCCCGAACATATTTTTTTTCTTCGCCACTTCTCATCTTGTATGTAACTCATCGTTTTCTTGCTCATATTAATTTTTCATTTCTATTTATTTAAATATAATTTTTCACATATTTTGAATTATATTTTCATCGAAATACATACTAAGAATAATATTATAAATTTATATATATATACACACACTACAATTGATTCCTTAAATTGTCAAATTTTAACTAGACAGTTTCAGTTTGGCCCCCAAATTTAAATTCCTTGGTCATTGGAGTTGCTCTTAAATCAATAAAACCATGACACAAGCACTATTTGATGGGTATTAAAGTTTGGTTGAATATTTGGAAAAATTATATTTTAGTGACCAAAAATTTAAATAAAATTGCTCTAGTGACTATAAAGTAAAAGAAAAAAAAGAGAGGATAAATAGTGACTAAATCTAAAACTTAAATGCTAATTAGTGACCATTTGGTATTGTATTACAAAATGTAGTTAGATAAATTTTCTCTCTTTTTTTTTTTTTTTTTCAGTAGCTCAAGAAAAAATGTTCAGGGCTTATGTCCTATTATTAACATATTTCCAATTGAGTCTTTTAGTTTTAAGTGGCCTACACTTGTAGGCATCGTTCTCAAGACTTGATTGTGTGCTAATTTTAATGAAATAACATATAAAAATTGGATATATATTTAAAGAGAGAGAAACTATCGGATGGAGGAGATACTGAAAAGAGAATCGGAGATGGCGGTACATATGACTAAAACCTGCTTAATTTCCAAAAAAAAAAAAGAAGGAAAAAAAAGTAAAAAAGAAAAGAAGGAAACTGTGGGCGTTGGTGTAAACTTGTCACATAACCCTAATCTATTTTCAAAAAGAGAAAGCGCCCATGATGGAGATTAGATTATTCATGTTTAGTGTTGTAAGAGAATTGGGTGAGATATGAATTGATTGACAAAAATATCCTCCCACTTATTAGGGTTTTAGATTTATCCTAACTATGTTTTGAATGCTGGATTAGAAGGGATTTGAATTTCAAACAGAATGCAAATACATTTTAAAAATCTAGAATTTGACAAGATTTGAGGATAAATATTGTTTAATGATTATATTTTTATAATTAACTTGTTTAATATTTACTTAGTCTATTACAATTTTTCTATTAACTGTAATCTATTAAATATCTACAATTTTATTAATGATTTTAAATTTGTTCACTATATTTTTTTTTCTTTAATTTTGTTAAATATTTTGAATGTCAGATTTGATAGGATTTGAATTTTGAAACAGGATTGAAATTCAGTCTAAAAAATCAAGATTTTACGGGATTTAAAATATAAATATTGTTTAATGATGAAAAATCTAATTTGGGCAGTTGTAATTGGATGCGTTTTAGGGTAAAATTGGAAAAACATTTCCATTGAATACTCTGTGCAAAACTAAAATTGCCCGGCTCCAAGAGACGTGGCTGTAATCTTCTTCATTTTTTCTTGGTTCTCATCTCCTTTCTCGATTTCTTCTCAAGGGATGGGGTTCATTAACCTTCAATTGGAACACACACTCTCTTTCTATATTTGAGAGAGAGAGTAATGGGAGACTCATCGTCGCCGAGGAGTTGCCTGTAGCCGTGCCGCCGGACAATCTGCGTTGCAATAAGAGTGATGGTAATTTATGGCGGTGCAAAGGTTAGGGGATCCACGAGAAGATCATTTGCGAAAAGCACTATATTCAATCTCTTCAAAACAACTCTTTGCAGAAATCCAAATAAAAGTCTACTATTTCTGTTCTAGGGTTTCCAAAAGAACAATCACGGAGAACCACCGCATAGCTGGCGGCGGCGGCGGCGGCGGCGGCGGTTCTTTCTGAAATAAGCCCAAACAACTCGGACTTTTCTCGACACCAAACAGCAAGACTGAGATTCAAGGTACGAACTGCATATTGTTGCTAGTTAATTACTTGTTACTTGCATTCAGGATATGACAAAGTTGTTGGGACAAGGATTCTATGTAGATCGATAGGAGGGGTTCATAGTATAGAAATCGTTGGATCAGATCGAGAATTGTAAGATCCTATAAAACTATTAGAAAAGTAACTCAAACTAACTTTCTAAATTAAATATTAATTAGTCTAAATCAATTAACGTCAAAAGATTCTAAGACACATGAAAAACACTTAAAATCCATTTCTTGATTCCAACAAAAAAATCAACATAACAATCAAACCGAATCTCACCCAAGAAATTAAAGCCTAAACAAATAGAAAAAAAGGGAAAGAGAAAAATACAATTTAGTTGCCTAATTGTCTAAACAATTTAGTTAAAATAAGTTACTATTTGGTTAATAAAAGAGGATCAAAACACAGATAAAAAGAACTATGGAAAAAATGAAGTCTCTCTTTGTTTTTGTTTTTGTTTCAGAATGGACAAAGAATAAGGGAAAAAAATGTCATTCTTCTTTTTCTAGTACTGAAAAAAGCAAGAATAAAAATTGAATTTAGCCGAATATTTTAATGTTTTGAACCATTCAGATTTTTTATTTTGTTTTTTCTTGAATTATGCTAAAGAGTTATACTTTATATTTAAAATGATTAAATTTATTTGTCCAAAATGAATTATAGGCCCAAATAAATCCAGAATAAGAAGAAAGTAACACTAGTTAGTAGAATAGTGCTATCCTACAATCCTACTTCCGATTTTACAGATCCTATTGAGATTCTACTTCCCAGCAATTTTGTATTGGATCAAGATCGGTTTAATAATTTGGGTATAATTTCTACAATCCAATCGGGATTTTAACAACCATGGGATAAGAAAGAAAAATAAAGTCAGAAATAAAACATCATGCAATGCAAATTTATATAGGGTGTTAGTTACCCAAGGATTAGGGGCGGGTAAGATTCTACAATCCAAATCCGGATTTTAACAACCATGGGATAAGAAAGAAACATTAAGTTAAAATTAAGACATCATGCAATGCAAATTTATATAGAGTGTTAGTTACCAAGGATTAGGGGTGGCCATTGATTGGATTATTAGGGGTGGCCATGGATTGGATTAGGCATCAATCCTTATCCGATCCGATCCCAACTGATTGGGAAAATCTGAATCTGCCACCAATCCACGGATCAGATCCATGAACTGGGGTTGCCCCAAATAGCCCAATATTGTTACTTTTAACAATTGCCCAATAGATAAAATTTCAATTTATCAACATTAATTCATATATTTAAATGATCATTAACTAATACATGTAGTGAATTAAGGCTTGGAAGGCTATGGAAGGTCATTAAAGTTCCATTTTTACATGTTTACACAAATATTGTAACTTTTGTAGAATTGAACAGGTAGCCCACCATCTATAACATTGAGTTGACTGTGCCTTGGAGCACTTTGGCTTATATTTTTCATTTTCTTAATAATTTGTCAATACTTAATGGAATTTTTACAGGGTTTCCACCAACACAGAGGCAGAGATACAGCAGGCAGTTTGTTATAACGATGAACGTGTAAACTGGTATGGTTCTTTTCTTGAATGATTTGTGATTTCTTTTGTCTTGAAATCTGAGTTGTGACAAAGATTTGATGATACCACATGTTCTATTGCAGCAACAGTTGCAGAACCTGTATGGTTGATTTCTTAGAAGCTGTCCGAATTGTTCCTATGATATTTGTCTGACTTGTTGCCGTGAAATTCGGAACGGATGCTTGCGGAGGTGGCGATGAAATTTGTTTGCAATATTCTGACTGGGGAAAATCTTCCATGCATGGATGTAAACCTCTCCCTTTGCCTTCGGATCACAAAGTTTCTTTGACTTGTTTCATTGAGTCTAGTTCAGAGGATAAAAGAGGCCAATTTCTGAGTGGAAAGCAAAGGAAACTAGTGTAATCCCTTTTGCCCACCAAAGGAATTGGATGGTTGTAGTCTCTCTAAGAGTTGGAGAAGAAAGTAGAAAAAAATGTTGAAGCCCATGAACTTGCAGAATTTCTAAGCAACGATGCTCACGTTTTAAACCAAATGGTGAGATTGACATTGGTAATGGGAAACTGCAGAAATCTGCTTATAGAAAAGGTTATGAAAACCACTACTTATACTGTGCTTCAGCAAGTGATATCTAGCAGGGCGATCTGGAGCATTTCAAGAGACATTGGATCAGGGGAGAGCCAGCCTCGCCAATAGTTTCAACTATTTTTTCTACTTTATTCTTCAACTCTGACACCCACTTTTTGGAAACATGCACTTCAGTTCAGCTCCAAATGATCATGACCGCAACCATCCATATCCTTTGGTGGTCATGGTATGACACGAGTTTCCTTTGCTTTCCACTCTGAAATTGGCCTCTTTTTATTCTCTGAACTAGACTCAATGGATGAACTCATAGAACTTTTCTGATCTGAAGGCAAGGGGAGAGGTTTCCCTCCATGCTAGTAAGATTTTCCCCGGTCAAAATATTGCACACCAATTGAAAGCGTTGGAAGTTGTATTTAGCTCCTTTATTTAAAGGATTAGATTGATTGCTGAAAATGAGGAGCAGATTGATTTTTGTAAATTAGGAGAATATTATATGGTTTTTTTATTTTATTTTATTCTATTTTTATTTAGACTTCCCTCTTTCCTACAAGATGTAAACATATTAAGATGAAATATACACATAATTTTTCTCTTTAAATATCGACATGGCATCTGGGATTTGAGCAGAAAATGGAAGAGGGATTTTTGATCGTCGCCTGAGTGCCCAGGTAGATCAAACGATGAAAGAGTGCTCAGAAGCTGTATATTAGACAATACAGGTAACTTTGGATTAGCTTTCATCACTTCTAGTCATCTTGGATTATAGATTTGGGTTAGCCTTCATCACTACTCATCCTATGACACATGAATCTAGTTTTTTTCCTTCTTATAGCACTCATCATAGTACAATGAGTGTTAATACTGCAAATGGGTCTGCTTTTATTGTGTTTAGGGAAGGTTCCTTTCCTCTTAACTTCTTCTGTCTTTCTCTACTGTCTTGTATGTTCCATGTTTAACTGGTAACCTATAGTTCATTAGTCAGATTACTAATTCTGACTTCTTCTATGTCTTTCTCTACTGTCTTGTATGTTTATAGTTCATTAGTCAGATTACTAAGGCTCTTAAATGTTCAAAACATTCTTTGATTCTCATTGTGTCTTTCAAGTTTTTCTTAGGGGAGCAAAGATTGGTCTTTGTAGAGAAAGAGGTGGTTACCATTTGGATATGAATTGGGTTTCGGGATGGAAAAACAAATTAAGTAGTGGGCAGGTCTACATCAGAAGAGCATTTTTTTGGTTATGGCACAAAAGATTAGGACAGCCCTCACTTAGCTATTTGCATAATCTGTTCCCATTGGTATTTTCTGAAGTTAGATGTTTCTAATTTTCATTGTGATAGTTGTGTGTTAGCCAAACATCATCGAACTTTTTTCCTTCAAGTTTTAATAGAAGTAATGTGCCTTCCTCAATGATTCATAGTGACGTGTGTGGGTCATCCCGTGTTCCTAATCATCAAGGTTCTAAATGGTTTGTTTTTTTCATTGAAGACTGCACTCGTGTTTCATGGATCTATCGGATTAAAGGGTGATGTTGTTTTTCACCTTTCAGTCCTTTCACCAAATGGTTCTGACCCTGGTTAACATGAGAGTACAGGTTTTACGATCAAATAATGGAGGGAAGTATTTTAAGTAGGGTCTTGGTGTTTATTATCAGGTTCATGGCATCATTCATCAAACTTTGTGTATTGATACATCCCAGCAGAATGGTGTAGTCGATAATGCTGCAAATGAATTGATAATGCTGCAAATGAATTGAGCGGAGCCGAGCTTTGGCTTGCTCGGGCACGGCTCGTCAACTTCAGAGAGCTGCTCGGGCTCGGGCGAGCCTGGCTTGGCCGGGCTCGGGCTCAGTAAAGATTTGCAAAGCTCGGGCTCGGCTCAGCTCGGCTCAGGATCGTCTATCTACCGATTATCACCAATCAAAGAACATCTCCTCCACAGAATCTGATTTGCGTCTTCAATAAGAAAGTAATTCAGCTGATATGGATCAGACAAGAAAAAAAGAAAAAAATTAATAATCTTTAATCTTTTCTTGAGCTTAAGATCTAATAAAGAACAATAGAGAGAGAGAGTTGTCGCGTATGGCTGTGGAGGGTTGATGGTGAGGAGAAAAAGAGGACGTGCCGCTAGTTTCTAGTTCTAGGGTTATTTTCTTATCTCTTTTAACTTTAGTAAACCAACGATTGAGATGTAATAGATTCTAAGGCTGAGATGAAATCTTATTTGGATGGTGGACTAATTGGTCTTAATGAAATTATGCAAGTTGGGCTAAAGTTATACTTTTATGGGCTAAATCTTTTAGATGTAGAGTAGTAATTAAATATGGGCTTGTAGAATGATAATAAATATGGGCCAGTTAACGGGCTTGTTCACGAGCCTAACGAGCCGAGCTCAATGTTGCTCAAGCTCGGCTCGTTTATTAAACGAACGAGCCCAAGTCGAGCTTTTAACGAGCCGAACCCGAGCTATTCATGAACAACTCAGTTCATTTGTAGCCCTAGTAGTCGAGCGTAAGAATTTCCATCTCTTAGAATTTGCTAGGTCATTACTCTTTGCTGTGAATGTTCTTAAATCCTTTTGGGCAGATGCTATCCTTATAACAACGCATCTCATTAGTATAATTCCTTCAAAAGTCCTTAATTTCCAAACCCCTTATTCAGTCCCCTGTTGAAAACACACTATACTCCAAATCTTCTTCACATCCCACCCAAAGTGTTTGGCTATTCACAAACAACACCGGAGTAATCTGGATCCGAGAGCACTAAAGTGAATTTTCTTGGGGTAGTCTGCCACAGAAAGGTATACAAATGCTACTACCCTCCTTCAGTTATTGTTTCCATGGTGGTTACTTTTGTTGAAGACCAGACTTACTATTCGGGAGGAGATTCAGACTCTTTTCTTGGGGGAGAATTTGGGAAATGAAGAGAAGTCTTGGGATGTGCTGCCACTACCTTTAACCAGCTTATCATCTGCTGGAACTTCTGCACCAACTTAGAAGGAATTCAGGAATTCCTTGAGCCACACAAATTGGTGTACTCAAGAAGAGAGAAGACACATACCACTCAGCCACCTCGTGATTAACCCAATGACCACTTAGGCGCTCCTGTGATAGGTAATCCTGAGGTAGTTCCTTCTTTTGAACTGTCTATTGATACTCCTGTTGATGAGTAAACTCAATTAGTTATTGATCAACCAGATGATGCTACTCAGCTTGGCTTGCTACTTGTAAAATATCATATCTCTCATTATATGTCCTCACATTGTTTATCTTCATCTTCATCACTTATCTGCATCCTCATATGGCCCAACATACGGCAATCTCTGTCGTTTGTTAACTTTGGCTTGTGGAGACTCATTCCTCATCGGAAGGTCCTACAATTGAGCATGTCAATGCTGTGACAACCTTGAGAAGTGGGAAGATTGTGGACAACAAAGTAGGTATGTCCAATGAAGAGAGTGAACCTGTGCAACCACAAGTTTACATCCATCCCGTTTTACATCCTATTCCTCCTTCATTGCATGTGCATGATCTTTCAAATGAGAAAGTGTTGAAAAGTTATTTTAAAAGTGATTTGAAAAAGGAAAATTAGAAAAATGATTTGAAAAATTCTTGTGTTGAAGAAATTTCAAAGAAAAATTCTGAAAAAGTTTTTGAACTAAAAGCTCCATTTCCGGATGCCTTAAAAGGATCCATTTCCATTGACAAGAAAGACCAAAGTGAATGAGATTATTGAAGTGTCTAGGCAAGTGAAGATCAATCTTCCGCTTTTGGATGCAATTAAGTAAATTCCGGCTTATGCTAAGTTCTTAAAGGATTTTTACACCCAAAAGAGGAAGAACAAAAACCAAGCACCTAGAAAAGTGGTCTTGACTGAGCAAATGAGCTCAATTTTGCAACATAACGCTCTCCCAAAGTTCAAAGACCCCGGTTCATCTACTACTTCTTACATCATTGGTGACTATGTCATAAATCGGGCTCTCCTTGATTTAGGAGAAAGTGTTAACCTTCTTCCATATTCGGTATATGTTAAATTGGGCTTAGGAGACTTAAAACCGACGTCGGTAGTTTTGCAACTTGCCGACCGATCCATTAAAAAGCCCCAGGGTATCATTGAGGATATTTTAATTAAGATTGATAAATTCTTCTTTCCTGTTGACTTTGTTGTCATAGACATGGAACCGGTCCCAAATCCCAAGAGCCAAATTCCCGTTATCCTTGGCCGTCCTTTCTTGGCAACTTCGAATGCCAACATAAATTGTAGGACGGGAATAATTGATCAACGCCGAATATTGCATATTCAAGCGCCCTTATTTGCATTAATTAAGTCCATTAATTGGTTTTATTGTATAAATTTTCTCCAATTCCTCGTTTTTGTGTATTTTCAGGTTTGCCTCCCAAAAAGAAATAAAGTGGAGGTTTTGGAAGCTTTTTGAAGAGCAAGTCATTCCGGGCCTTTGCTTCCTATGATTTTCGAGAAGAAATTGCCGAATTGGGCTCATAAAGGCTCTCTACAAGACAAAAGGGCAGAAGATGGACTCAATGACTCACATCGAAGATCAAAAAGAAAGTGAATCAATAGCATGAAGATTTGATAAAAGTAGAAGAATTTCAAGGCAGAGAGAAACAAGGCATTTACGAGCATTCCAATTCAAGGCAGAAAGAAACAAGGTATCTACAAGCGCTCGTAACCTCTCTTACAAGCGCTCATCTCTGCAGCCCCGGACCATGAGAAGAAAGCTAAGGCATTTACGAGTGCTCATGCTGCGATCTACGAGCGCTCGTCCAAGCACTGCTGACCCATTTGGCTTCTTGATCCTTTCAATTGGATTCCCTCCTTAATTGGGTTGTTGGAAAAACACTTTTGGGGGACCTGGCGGAAACCGTGTTTAAAACTGAACTGCATTTCAGTCTTATCAGCACTAGAATCCTCTTTACAACACTGTGCTGGTCCAATTCTCAACCGAGTCCACTAAATTATTACAGGGAATTGCACCAGCAAGTTTCAATATATGAGTATTGGGTTCATGGGCATCACAAACTGTGTTGGCCACATTAGGATTGATGGACATTACATCTACTGGGGATTGGCCATGGCAGGGTTGTCTTAAAAAACTAGTATTGATGAAAGCAGATCAGTTGTTATTCTGGTAACCAATCTTTAGTGAGGAAACCTTCCGAATTTCTTCTTTACTTTGAACTCATGATCTTGTTCATCAAGTGTAATAAATGGTTTTACGTCTTCCTGTTACTCGGCCTTTCGAGCCAAGAATGTCTCTCTCACTCCATATAGTCCTTGAAATGGCAACAAAACATACTGAAATTTTGCCGCCTTCACAAAAGCCTTTTGTCTACCATTTTTTTGATGAGACTTAAATGCATACCTTGTTTTTATTTGAAATCTTCCATGATGGATATTATTGTAATATCTGAAGCTCCATGGTTAATAGGTTTGAGCCTAAAATACCAGTACAAAGGAAAGAAAAAAAATTATAATAAAAAAAAATAAAAAATTTAATTTTTGTGTGTGATATACTGATATATTGGAGGGTACAAATTTCTTAAGAAATTCCCACAATATAAAATAAACTAAATTTGTACACACAGGATTTTCGTGCTGTGCACGGGAGAGAACTAGTATATATTATAAGATAATCCAAAAGTATCTTATTATGCATTACATTAAATCAGGCCACAGCCAAAACACACACACAAACACAGTTGTTTCTCAGTTGCTTTAATCTGGATTCCTGTGTGTGGTCAATGAGTAGTGTCGATAAAGCAAAAGTTGGTTTTGAATTGTTGAATTTTATATAGACAAGCTTGAGCCTTCTCAATGACCACATCAACCCTATCCCTCTCATCAAGATTATGACACTTGTGGAATTTTAGCTTGGGAGCTTCAATATCACCTTCCATTACCCTCTGAATATCAGAAGTAGACTTCTTCCTCTTCCTGCTGGTTGATGATACTGTTCAACATCATAAACCACAAAAACCAATTTATAGTTATACTAATGATTTTAATATTAATAGCAAGTCAATAATAAAGTAAATTGGAACAAGAATTGACCTTGTGTAGTAGCAGTTGAAGAGGTGGGCAAAGAGTTTGAGTTGGCATTCAAGTTTTGGGATTCAAGTAGAAAGATGAAGGACTTGAGCTCTAGCTTTAAATACCCAAACTTATTAGGGTGCTGGGCTTCAAGTATCTGCAACTCTTCCTTTGCTTGATCTAACATCACCATTCCACACCCCCGTGGTGTTGATGACCACTCCATTGCCATCTCTCTCTCTCTCTCTCTCTCACACACACACACACACACAAACACAAACACAAACACACACAAGTTTGGCTTAAGAGGCAAAAAGAGCAAAACCAGGAAAGTATGTTCATTGCTAGCATCGGAAGGAGGAGCTGAAAAGCACTTTTTTCCCCTCACAGTACAACAAAAAGTGTATATGAAAAGGCTATCTATCTGTCCGTTGGTCTGTCTCGAAAAGCACTTTCAATTCAACCAAGATATTTTGACTTCTTTATTATTGAAATGATTGATTTATACCCCTGGTTGATGTGGTCAAATTTAAAAAGGTCGGTTACATCAGAAAATGATAGGAGTAAGTACTTGAGTTTCCTGTGGTTGGAGGGAAGAAAAAATTTGATGGAAGGAAGGGAGAAGAGGAGGAATGGATTGGGTGATATTTTTTATTTTTTTGGTTTGGATGAAAGAAAAAGAAAGAGTTTGTATATTATTTTTATAAATATACACTCGTTAATGTAATAAGGCTTAACAATCAAACTTTTCATAAGATTAAAAATATAAATTATATATTTGTTAGTTACTAATTTATTTTTCTCTCCTCCTTTAATTTCGACAAATATGAAAATACAAATGAAGAAGGATGTTTTATCTCTCTTTGTTTCTTTCGTACCTTCTCTTCCTTTCAATTAAACACAAAGAAATTATTTTATCTATCCTCTCGTCCATTCCTTCCCTATCTGTGTTTGATGTAAAACACAAATTTTATGTATCTTAAAATATGTTTTAAGTGGGCTGCATTTACACTTAGAATATATTTAAGAAATAAAATTCCTTTAATTATGGTTTTAGGTAAGGGCTATTGGCCTAAATACCATTATTCATAAAATATTATAAGAAAATTAAACATTAACTTTCATTAGACTGAATTAACAATGGACATGAAAGAAGTTAAAAGCCAAACCATCTAATAATTTTTTATTTCATTGGCGTTACAAGGATTTTCTGGTGATATTTATTATGTATTTTTTTAATAGGAAAAATGACTTAAAAAAAGAAGAAGTTGAAGTTACATTCTTGAATGAGTGCAGGGCTCGTCAAAAAAAAAAAAAAATGATATTAAAAAGCAGGTCCATTAATATTTTTTTTTTTTTTACAATTTGTTTCAATTTATTTATTTTATTTTATTGATATTTTTTAAAATCAAAACGTCGAATAAACACCAATACTATGCATATAAATCGTCTGTAATCCAACCAAAAAAACAAGGGCACTTACGTACATAAAGTTAAAAACGATTGTAGCGCCCACAGGCTTACTTTAGCAGAATTCTTTAATCCCCTGTACAGTCCCCCTTAATTTATTAAACTGTGGGCGGGGTACCCCATCCGCCACTGTATAAAACACACACTCTCTACAATCAATACTTACAGTACTCCCCCTTTCCCTCTAAAAAGCACACCTTTCAACACACGCACACACACAGATTGAAAGACTCACATGTGGTGTTGGTTTTGGTGTGGCAGAGAGCGCAATGGGAGACTCGTCGTTGCCGGAGGAGGAGCCAATAGCAGTGCCGCCGGACGATTTGCGTTGCAATCGGAATGATGGCAAGTTGTGGCGGTGCAAAGGTAGGAGGATCCAGGAGAAGACCTTTTGCGAAAAGCACTATTTTCAATCTCTTCAAAACAACTCTTTGAAGAAATCCAAACTAAAGTCTACTGCTTCTAGTTCTAGGGTTTCCAACAGCACAACCAACAATAACCACCGCACGTCTTCCGGAAATAAGCCCAAACAATCAGGGCTTTTCTCGACATCAAACAGCAAGAAGCAGAGAAAGAGAAAGAGAAGAAAAGAAGAGTCTGATGATGAGGTGATTCCGACGAAGAAAAGGCGTAGTCAGAAAGTTGTGGATGAGAAAGAGAAGGTAAACATTAAAGGAAAAGAGGAACAAAGAATCAATGATAGTGATGGAACTGATGATTCAGAGGAGAATGAGGATGTTAGTTTGGGAAAAGGAGTGAAAAAACCTTCGTCTGATAACAAGAAGAAATCAAGAATGGAGATCATAACCGATCAAGAAGAAGAAGATGTTGACGACGACGAGGAGTACAGCGACAGCAGAGAAGAAGGTGATTCAGAGGAAGAGAAGGTGGCTGATTGGGTAAAAAAAGCGAAAAGGAATGAAAAAATTGAGTCATTGTCACTAGATGGGAAAAAGAAGGTTGTGGAGTTTGGAGAGAAGAAGATATTGGGAGTGAAGGCAAAAACCAAACAGAAGGAAGAAGATAAAGAAGACGAGGATGGTGAAGATGATTCAGAGGAGGCTAATTTGGTGAAAAAAGCGAAAAAGAATGAAAAAATTGATTCATTGTCACTAGATAGGAAAAAGATGGTTGTGGGGTTTGGAGAAAAGAAAAAATTGGGAGTGAAGTCAAAGGAAGAAGATAAAGAAGACGGGGATGGTGAAGATGATTCAGAGGAAGAGGAGGCGGCTAATTTGGTAAAAATAGTGAAAAAGAATGACAAAATTGAGCCATTGCCACTAGATAGGAAAAAGAAGGTAGTGGGGCTTGCAGAGAAGAAGAAATTGGGAGTGAAGGCTAAAATCAAACAGAATGATTTAGACAAATATGATGAGGATGATTTAGAGGATAACAAGGGTGTTGATACATTTGAAAAAGCTAATAAGAAGGTAAACAATGCCAAGAATGAATCAGCATCAAGAAAGAAGAGGGAAAAAGCCGGCTCGGCTAACGAAAGCAAAGACTATGACCATGACGATGATTCAAAAGCTAAGGATTATTATTTAGGTATAAGAAAGTGTAGGTTGAAGCAAAAAAGCCAGCCCTTGGATACGAGGAGAAGGCATTTTGTTTCCGATGTAAGCTTATGTTCTTTCTAAGTTTCTTTTCCTTTTCCTCTTCTGAAACTTTCATCTTTTTAACCAAAGCAGACACCTTTTTAAAAATAATTTAACAGGTGAGTGGAGATGACTGTAATATGTGCCATCAATGCCAGAGGAGCGATAAGGAGAAGGTGGTGCGGTGCCGCAAGGGCAGCTGTCGCAAACGTTTTTGTGTTCCATGCATTCAGAGATGGTAACATTTTTAATGTTTATGTCCGACATTTGAAAGAAAAAATATCTAAATTATGCATGTCAAAGGGTATGTTACTGTTCTTGAGTACTGGAATTTCAAATGACTTTAAGATTCATCCAATCTACTGTTTTATTATAAAGGATTGCCGTAAACCCTTTATGATATAATTGAGGTTCCTAAATGATACATTGTTGTTAAATAAGTACGATGGACATTGCCAAGAATTTTAGTAGTATGGTTCATTTATTGATTGCTAATTTCTATTTATATGTATGTATAAAGTTTGGTGGTCCGGAGAATCTATATAGGTTCCATAGTTTTTGCTTTCATGGCTGCATCGTTGTTAATATTTTTTTTTTGGTAACTGTATCGTTAATCCTGGTGGTTATCCTGTAAAACAATGAGGTATGATGGGTTGATGTAGTGATTGTTGTTGGTCTTATTTACTTGACTATCATATGTTTTTTTGTCATTTCATCCGGTAGTGATATAATTTCCCTATTAGCAACTACGCATCATACTGCTAATTAGTTTTTAGTCCGACTACATATTTTTATGTGTTGCTGTAACTTATAATAGGCATGTATTTTAGGTATGATTGATGCCTTGGTGGCTTTCCCAGGAAAAACATTTTCACATATTGAATCAGAATTTGCTGATATTGATATCTGTCATTGGCATTCTTGGCTTGGAATTATTCCTTAGAATTTATTGATTTATTGCTCTAGTGATTTACGAGATGTGGACATCAAGGAATGTTTTGTCAATTGTGTTTAACTTCGTTCATTTCCGATATATAAATATTTTTTTATGCCACGTAAACCCTAATTCCCATATTTAATGTCTACCAGACACTTAACGCTCATTAACCGATGCCTTAGCGCATTTCCCCCTCTCTTTGGTTGTAAAATTTAGGTACCCCAGACTGTCAGAGGAAGAAATAGCAGCAACTTGCCCATACTGTTGTGGGAACTGCAACTGCAAAGCTTGTTTACGTAGAACTGATATAATTAAGGTTGGTAATGGCAGCTATGGCATTTAGTCTTTTCACCTCTGCGTTAACTACATTATGTATAGCTTGTGACATCTGGTGCATTTCTCTTTATTTAACACAGGATAACAAATATTCAGGATTGCCAGAAAGTAAGGATGAAAAGATTCAGCACTTGAAGTATCTGGTACATGTACTCTATCCGTTCTTGAAGCAATTCGATGATGACCAAATGCTGGAAAAAGATATTGAGGCTATGATTCAAGGTACGAATTGTATATTGTTGCTGGTTAGTGACTTGGATTCAGGATAAGAAAGGAACATTAAGTCAAAGATAAAGCATCATGCAATGCGAAATTATTTAGGATGTTAGTTACCAAGGAAGCAATGTGACGAATTGAGGCTTGGAAAGTTCAATTGTTACGTGTTTACACAAATATTGTAACTTTGCAGAATTGAACAGGTAGCCCACCATCTATGACATTGAGTTGACTGTGCCCTGGAGCACTTGTCATATATGTGGTGGCTTATGCAACTAAAACAATTCTTCATTTTCTTAATAATTTGGCAATGCATAATGGAATTTTTACAGGGTTACCACCATCGGAGGTGGAGTTACAGCAGGCAGCTTGTTATGAAAATGAACGTGTTTACTGGTATGGTACTTTTTGTGAATGATTTATGATTTCTTTTGTTTTGAAATTGGAGTTGTGACGAAGATTTGATGATACCACTTGTTCTGTTGCAGCAACAATTGCAGAACCTCTATAGTTGATTTTCATAGAAGTTGTCCGAATTGTTCCTATGATCTCTGCCTGACTTGCTGCTGGGAAATTCGGAACGGCTGCTTGCGAGGAGAGAAACCTCTCCCTTTGCCTATGGATCAGAAAGGTTCTCTGAGTTCTTCTCTTAAGTCTAGTTCAGAGGATAAAAAGAGTCCAATTTCTGAGTGGAAAGCAAAGGAAACCGGTGTCATACCTTGCCCAACAAAGGAAATGGGTGGTTGCGGTCATGATTGTTTGGAGCTCAAGTGTATGTATCCAAAAAGCTGGGTCTCAGAGTTGAAGAAGAAAGTTAAAAAAATAGTGGAAACCCATGAACTTGCAGATTTGGACAGAATATCTAAGCAACGATGCTCATGTTTTAAATCAGATGTTGAGATTGACATTGGTAATGGGAAACTTCGCAAATCTGCTTCTAGAAAAGATTCCGAAGACAACTATCTGTACTGTCCTTCAGCCAGTGATATCCAGCAGGGGGATCTGCAGCACTTCCAGAGACATTGGATCAGGGGAGAGCCAGTCATTGTTAGCAATGTTCTTGAATTTTCATCTGGACTGAGTTGGGAACCAATGGTTATGTGGCGTGCATTCCGTGAGATTACATATACCAAGGGTTCCTCAGATTTGGCAGTGAATGCAATAGATTGCCTTGATTGGTGTGAGGTCAGTACTTCCAATATATCACTTTGTATTGTTTATTTTGGTATTGTTATCCTGTTATTGTGATCTGAACACAAAGGTGAAAAAGAATAAATTCTGATATTCTCTTTTCATATCTCATGTGTTATGACAAACGCAACGAACCCAAGTTTAATCAAGAATCACGACGGAAAAGTAAACACACCACACAAAGAACACAAAGATTTATACGTGGTTCGGCATCAACCTACGTCTACGGTTGGGATCCTGCAAAAGTTTTCACTATGTGTCAAATCGGAAATTACAAGTTTTCAACCTCTCGCTTTGTTTCTGTACGAATTTCAGAGTCTTTCTTTTACCCCTCTCCAAACCCTAAGCACCCTTATATATTGGGCTACAAGTGACTAATTAGGGTCCACGACCCATGAGCAAAAAACGGATCAAAATTTTTTCCTTAGGGCAAGTCCCCGAACCCCCAAAACAGGTCGTCGGGACCTGACGCCAAATTCGGGTCACAATATCACAAATTTCCATCTTGGCTCATATTACGCCATTTTCCACAATCTCTGGCTACTATTTTTGTTACCACATATGGAGCGAATCCAAGCAACAATCACGAAACATGATAGAAAAGTAAACACACCACACACAAAGAACATAAAAGATTTATTGTGGTTCGGCAAAGCCTACGTCCACGATGGAGATCCGGCGAAAGTCTTCACTACGAAAAATAGGAGATTACAAGTTTCAGTCCCTCACTCTCTTTCTCTGATTAGCGTCTCTCTATGTCCAACTTCAAACCCTAAACGCCTTATATATCGGGCTACAATAGAGTACTAATTAGGGTCCACGACCCACAAGCAAAAAAGAGTCAAAAAAAATATTTTAACTGGTTGTCAGGTCGTAAACGAGTTGCAACGCGGTTGCGACCCAACACCAAATCGGGCCACAACATCACAATTTTTACTCTCAAATCCATGGTATGCAAGTTGGACAATGACAACACAATGACTTCTTCAACTTTAGACAAGATGCTGATAGCTTTCTTAGGTTACTTCTCTTTTCCCTTACTTGCTTCTTTCTCCACTTTGTAGGTGTCGAATATGTTTTAGTCCACATGGCAACGCCACATTATCAATTATGGCTTGCATGGCAAGAGTCAAACGGTCAACGGGCAAGTTATGTGGCACATACCGCATCATTAATGAACTTTAAACAGAACATCGAAGACTTGAAGATCTGAGTTTGATGGCCGGTGTCCAGGGCCCATCGAGAAGGCAAATCACTCTCTCATAGTGGTTCTATCGACCTCGACTTGAATTGTAGAGGGAGAAAGACCGGTTTGACTGTTATACAACTTATCCCTATATTAGGTAGCCTTGCTTTGTAATTATTTGATAACTTTACCTTTTTTAAATTATTATAATAAAACACGTGTTGTTCTAGCATGATATCAGCCACTCTCTCACTTGGCTTGTAAAAAGAGATACTCCAAGTCCAAGGAGGGAGGAAAAAAGAAAAAAAAGAAGACCTTCCACGTTCTGAATTTCTCCGTTGCTCACCCATGCTCTCACCTCACACCCTAAACCTTCACCAAGGGAGTCAATGGTGAACTTGCACACTGCCATCCCCCCTCTCTCTCGCTCTCAAGCTTGCTTGGGCTTCGTCCTTTCTTAGTCCACTTCGGATCTCTACTATGTTGGAGTAATGCCTCATTAGTGTATTTTTATATTGTGTTTTTTTCAAGAACCTTACACTCCAATTTCAGTTTCGTTGTCACCCAATCAAACTTTAGTTGTTGCAACGTTTGATTCAATTACTTGACTTGCTTTTATCCTTATGTAAATCAACGCCATTGTTCACTAAAGAAATATCTTCACGTTCCTTCTCCATTATCTCACCATCTTCTTCTACCCATCTAGTGAGTTCGTCCCGAGCTGATGTGGCATCAACAAAATCAATACAATTTCCAATATCTTCCTCAATGAAGATTTGTTTTGCATTGATAATGAATTCTCTAAAACTATTGGTAGACTTGAACAATGAACACTTGGTAGACTTGTATCTCAACTCCTCGTGTGCTTAGTACAAAAATTCACTCTTTGGTATGGTTCACCGTTGCTGTCCTAGTGCTTTGTGGCTGTTTTACTGATATGGCATCATGCGTTTTGCACTTTTGAACTGCTTATGCTGCTGAATTCTTTCTCTAATAGGTTGTTTTGTCCAATTTCACATTTATATGCATCTATCCGCTGATTTCTTTGTTTCTTAGTGTCCAGATTAAGGGGATAAATGATTCCACAATGTTCGAATATAATTCTCAGTCAAGAAATTTGATGTTGCGAACTTGTAGGTTTTGGAAGTCTTCTATGTGACAAACTTGCTTCCTTGTGCAACCACAAGTCCTCAAGTATCTCAAATGTGACATGAAAGGCTCTGATGCCACTTGGAGCAAATAGAGATAAAAAAAAAATTTCTTACAGCATGCGGGTAGAGTTAGTAAAGAACGATATTATAGTATGTGGATTAACTATGACTCTTAAATAGAGCGGAATGAAAACATATGATTCATGTAGCCGACCCCAAGTAATTGGGAAAAATCTTGGTTATTGTTGTTGTTCTTACAGCAGTGTCATAGACTAGGATCATTTTAATCACTGACGGAGCCTAAATTTTTTAAGGACAAACTAGGAAATTTTTTTGAAGAATTGTATATAGACTAACAATATCTCAAAATTACATTGACTAAGACTTGACCTTTAATCTTTTGAAACAAACTTTAGAATCCCCACACATCGCTAATAACACCTTTACCCAGTGGTGATCGTCCTCTTGCCCTCACCTTTCCTAGACTTTTCCAAATTGCTATAGATAGACATGCCTTGGTGGCTGACTGCTATTGTCTCGATAATGGGAGAATGGTTTGGAATGTTTGTTTCTAGAGTCATTTTCAAGATTGAGAGACTGAGGATGCCATTGGTTTTTTGGAGTTGCTTTATCTCCATGAGATTATGGGGGAGATTTTTGACTTTTGTGTGTGAATTCCCTCTTCTCATGGTAGCTTTGATGTTCGGTCTTTTTATAGGTGTATTTCGGATGCTTCAAGCTCACCTTTCTTCTGGAAGGCTATTTGGCGTTCGAAGTCCCCTCTCAAAGTGGCTTGTTTTGCATGGACATCCATCCCGGGAAGATCTTGACCCAGAATAACCTTAAGAGGAGGAAACATATTGTGGTCAATTGATGTTGCATGTGCAAGAATGACGAGGAAATGGTTGATCATCTTCTTTTACGTTATCCTACGGCTCGGGATTGTTGGATTTTGCTATTGGGTTTTTTTCGGGTTCAATGGGTGATTTCCAGGACTTCTAGAGGCTCGGAGAGGTTGTATAGTAGGGGCCGAAGTTCGTAATTTTTGGAGGTTTACGCCCTTATGCAACCGGTGGTGTTTATAGCTCGAAAGAAATAGGAGATCCTTTTTTGTTGGGATCTTGGGACAAATTTTTAATCCTTGGAGGAGCTTGTAGATTTTTTGGACTCTTTTGAGGGTTTAGAGGCCTTATTTGGACTTGTGTAGCTTTTGAGTGATGCTTACCCCTTTTAAACGTTTTTTTTTTTTTTTTTTTTTTTTTTTTTTTTTTTACAATCTTTACTTATCAACAAATTTTTTTCATTTTTTTTATTTTCATTTTATTTTTATTTTAATAAATCCAAATAATAAATGCAAAAACTTAATTACTAATTAAGAAAGTTCTGGTAAAAAAATATGTAATTATTTAATTTATGTTTAAGAAATTCACACTTTTGAAAGTGTTACATGATGACCTCACTACTTGAAGTAAAATTTGGGTTTCTATGTACTGATGAGTGTTGAAAATTGACTGGTTTTAAATTCCTTCCTAAAAAAATATCCTTCCCATTTGCGCTTCTCTTATATAACAGAGATCAATAGAGAAATACCACTTAGTTTTGTTGCTCAAGTGATCTTGTATCTCCTCTTAACTTCCAAAATGGAATGTTGAGGGTTCAAGTTCCCACAAGAGCAAAGAGAGAGTGTAAGGTATTTCCTAGGACAAAATAAAAAGAGATAATTTTAAGGAGTTACTTCTAATATATGAAAAGATAATTTTACAAAATCAAAATAAAGAAATTGAGCAGGGCAGCTAAACTTTTCGATAATTTTTAGAAGGGCTGTTTTTATAATTTTGGAAAGAGGGGGTATTGCACACCGTTACATGTTTTGCTACAGTGTGCGAAAACATTAGAGGTCCATTTATTAACGCTTTCACTTTCTTACTTTTACTTTCTTCAAAAGTAAAATTATGATTTTGATTACTTAAACTGAAATAGAAAGTGAAATTATGTTTAGTAATATCTCGTATTCATTAAAATTTTGAAAACAAAACAACAAAATCAAGTTTAATAATTATGATTTTGTTTTTATTTTTTAACCATTGCTATAGTTCTATCATCTACCATCCCAATCCCACCATCCCCAGTTAAAGTTCGCATCCACCATCCCCATTTCTACCAAACTACAAGCACTACCGGAAACCACCACCACCTTCCGTCATAGCTTTCAAACATCAATAATGTCACCACAAACCTCTTTTCAACACAAAATTAAATTCTCTTCCAGAACCAAGATGTTCACCACCATCCAAAACCCCCTCTTCCCACTACAATTGCAATTACTTAAATCACAGTAAAAAAAAAAAAAAAAAAAAAAAAAAAAAAAAAAAAAAAAAAAAAAAAAAAAAACTCCGATCCCGCCGCTGTGCAGTCTCAAATCGGCAATTAAACTAGAAATCTCAACCCATTATCTTCAAACCCGTAACTTTCACTGAAACCCTTTTGTCGCAACAACCACGTCAGTGAGTCTAGGCCTCGTAACACGATCATAGTCATCGCCAATTGGATGAGCTTTTTGCCGTTGTCGTCACCGCGTTGATTCTCATTGTCGTCGTTGGAATCTTTCATCGTCATATTCGTTGTTGTGTGCCTAACTCTTTGATTTTGTGCTAAGGATTCAATGGTAAGAAAACAGAGGGAGGAAGAGGGGATTTTGTCCTCGAGGATGGGAGAGAGAAAAAAAATTCAAATTTGAGGAAAGCATAACTTACCTAAGTCCCATCATCGCCGATATGGTGGTCGCCAGCGATGCCGATCGGCGAATCATCTTTGTCGGAGTTGCCCATCTGGTGGCCATCATCATGGTACAAGGGAGAGACAACTGTGGGTTGTGGGTTTTTTTATTTTTTTTTAATTTTAATTTTAATTTTTTAACCTGGCAAGAAAACAAGCCAAACGCCATACGGCATCTACAAGCAAGAACATCGGCCATAGACATAGAACTGAAAACACATTTAACACCAACAGTCACAGAACTAACTAAACCTAACTAACACCACTTATAGTCAAGACCCTTATAGTCAAGATCACTGTCTGAACAAACTAGGAAAAGGTGTCAGTTACATTGGAAGAAGCAATGATAGTGTTATCACCACAAGCAAATTGAACCCAGTAAAAAAGACTAAGATGACTCGCAAAGGATAAGAATCTGCACCGGCTAACAGAAACCGAGCAAAGTCAATAGCGTTTTTTAAGTTCCGCTACAGTAGCGGAAGTAATTCCTCCACTTCAGTGGAGAAAATAGGATAGTGAGGAATCTATGCTTTCTTTTTCTTTCCTAAAATGTGAAAGTATTTTCTAAAAGTAAAAAAGCAGAAATATGTTAATAAACATAATTTTTACTTTTATTTTTTATTTTTAGAAATTGACAGTAGAAATTAAAAAGTAAAAACGTTACTAAACAGGCCCTAGGAAACACCAATTTGGTGTTTTCAATTTGGGCCTCTTTTCGGAAACAAACATGGTACTATTGTAATTGCAACAAAAGTTACCAAATGCATTTTGGTGTTTTGCTTTGCTATAATACACTACCCGCAACAGAAACACGAAACAAAAGTGGTTGCCAAACAGGCCCTAAGTTTTTCAAAACACTTTCTAAAGTCCCATTAATTATTTGCATCACTTACAAAGTCAAAAACCAAACGATGGAGACTGCATTGCCTCTATGTCTTCTAGTCCACTTGCATGGTTGCTGCTATCTCATCCCCATCACTAAGAAGCACCACACCCCCTTTAGTGCACACTGTCAAGATGTTTGTCCATCAAGCTAGATTTGAGTCCTTTGCCGGCCCACTCTCCTTCAAGCCCTGCCTTTTCAACCACTTTTGCTCTAGTGACGACTACTCCACTTCCTTGATAGCCAATGTATTTAGTTGCCGCCAACGCGATCTTGCCGTGGCGAGTGACAATCTAGTAAAGGTTTATACATATATGGTATCAGGTCCTTACATTAGCGTATGTTAATTACTCACATAGACAAACATATATACACATGTCCATAATAGAATAAGGCTATCAGGATGTTTCTCTCATGATAAGAGTCATGGATCCTTCTTAATGACCTCTAGATGGAAAAAGGATTGAAAAAAGTTTCGAGGTTTATGAATAAATTTTGTCAATCTGACGGCTAGTAAAGAGAATTAATGGCTATTTTCATGAGAGGAACCTTTTGATAACATTTACCATAAGGATATGCATATGCATCTTTATTTATCAAAAAAAAAAAAAAAAAAGGATATGCATATGCATCTTATTTTTATATGAGTTATTTATACCATCAAACTCCTATTATAAGATCTGGATATATATTCGGATTATCCACGATACTTTATTTTACTGATTGAAATTATGAGTTCCTCAAATTAGGATGTTTTACAAGTGATCCCGATGAAAACCGTCAGGACAACACGATGGTTTTTGACGGCTGTAAGTTGGATGGTGTGGCCTACCCTTCGAGGCACGGGTAGGCTTAGGGCCACTTACTAAACTAAGAGCTAGTTGTGGACTCTTTTACCTTCATCTCTGCATGATACTGTAATATACATTATCAGCTGTTATAACTTCAGTCACTCCTTCTGACTGAAACTGATACTATACTTCTAGAAAGAAAGGTTGTGAACCACTCCTGGTGTTCAAACAGGATGACTTTCTCAATGGCAATTTACTTCGGATACCTTTGGAAACATTTTTCAACTACCAAAGTTCAGTCTTTTCCACGTTCCTGTGGATCAAGCGTGATATAATTTAATCATGCATGGTTTAGCATCACGTGGCAAACTGCACTTTTATGTCAGTTTGCTTTAGAATACATTTTCATGCTCATTGTCTTGCTTCCTTGAAAAATTGTATCAACCGAAATGCTAAATTATGAACAGGTTTCTGTTTCTACTGCCATTGTCTTTATTGAGTGTTTTAATCTTTCGCTTCTTGGATGTTCCACAATAGATGAGTAGTCACACCCCTGATCTTAAAACCAAAAACCCGAGGTGTGAGGTGTAAATTTAAGGTTTAAGTTAAATAAGAAATTCTACTTTTTAAAAGAATATGATGGTAAAGGGTATTATTTATTTGAGAATTTGTAGATCAAAATGTAGACCTCTGTTAAAATGAAATTAATACCAATAAAATTTATATTGTGGAAAAATTATATCCTTAGCCAAATTATGCAATTGTATGAATAAGGTTTATTTATTATCCACATGCTACCAAACCCAAACCACAAAATTTATTTAAGATTCATTTTGAAAAGTAAAGTTCATATGCTACAAGAATAAAACCCTTCCATGACCAATTTATTTCCAATTAAGTTAGGAGAATATATACATATTTACTTAACAAGTGTGAGTGGAGAGAATCATACTAGCTAACAAACTAGTTTATAACAATGACACGTGGCATTACATCTTTATTCATTTTCTTTCTTTTCTGATAAATCTTTCTACTTCCAAACTTTATATTTTACACCACCATTAACACTTTTGACTTTTCTTTTAAATAATTTTATTTTCTAAATTTAAATTTTCTACAATCACTAACCAATTTGATTACTTTCTGCTATATTTTACAATTTTCTACATCTCTACATTCCACCCATAATTTCTTCATAATTAAAGTTCCAACCTATATACGTATAAATTGTACCAAACCGACAAGACCAAATCCGTTGTTTGGGTTTTACTAGAATGACAAGCAAGCTAACGGGCTGTTGAAGTAGTCGTCTCCGCCTAAAATTTTGTGACATTAGTAAAATTTTCTTAGATAATCCATCACATTGGGTTTAATCAATTTTATTAATTTTTTAGTCACAAAATAACATGTGAATTTAGTTTATCCCTTAACCCAAAATGCAGGATATTACATGTGCACTTTAAAAGTTCAATCTATAAAAATATTGTAACCCGTTTCTAATCAAACTTGAATGCTTACCTATTTTGAATAGATAGTCTTGGTAACTTCTATTTTTCACTTAATTGTGAATGTATTAAATGCTTGTCCCCTTAAAAAGTTGAAATTCTAAGGTGGCCAAAGAATATGTTGTCTTGTTTTCTGAAATAATGCTATTTCTCTTGGCCATACTCTATAATGTCACATGATCCCATTGTATCATTCGGCTTGGTTTTGAATTTATTTTCACCCTGTATTTTTGTCTTCTTGATTTATCAAGTACATTGAAAAACGGGTAATCATGATTATGACTGGTTACCTTACTCCTTAATTATTTCAAATTTACACCATCCAAGTTGATTTTAAAATTATATCAGGCAGGTTTTGAGCAAATTTCTGGGCTCAGATAGGTGAATATTGGTGGTTTTGGTTGAGCTCTCTCATTTTTCAAGGAATCGTTAAAGTTTAAACTGAAATCTGAATCAAAGCTTAGTTATGGACCCACAAACTGTAGAGTGTAGGCTAACTTGTAATTTAGCTTCTATTTCACCGTTCCACAGCTGCAGTTATTGTGTGTGTACATATTACTTGTATACATGTAAGAATGCATGCATGATGAATGTGTATTACGTACATAGTTATATTGACACTGTTTCAATATGATAGGAATGTGGGAGAGAATATAAGTAACAAATGAAAATATTTTTGGATAATAACCGTTTTAAACAAGTGGTGTCATTAGATCCCTTTTGGGGATAAAATTGATTGTAAAACTGGAATACTACCTTGAAGAAGTAAGGTGCTTGACTTCTCATAATTGTCTAAATGGCCTATGGTCATCTGCATGCTGCAATCCAATATATAACAATGATTTTAAATAAATATGCATATTAACGACTTTGCGATTGCATGGACGCATATATACATAAAATTTGACATTCAATTTAAGTATTTTGGCAAGATAAAGGGTTTAAGGTGGTTTACCTAATACCCTAGGTAGTCATTATAAGGGCTTGATATACTTTATTGAGATTGGATTATGTAATTATGGATAAAAAATGATCTGTTGTAGGTTTAAAGTCGTAATGCTTGCATCATCTATTGTTGGTTGCTTCAAGTTTCCCTCTCCTTTCTATTTCTTCAATATTTGATTTTAGGTATAATGGGTAATATCATCACTTGCCCACTTCCTTTTATTATTTCATATTTTATTTGTCCTAGTTGATTGATCGTACACTAATGTTTTCTTATTTTGTCTTGTGCTGTGCAGGTGGAGATAAATATTCACCAATTTTTTAAAGGGTACTCAGAAGGTAGATCACACAGAAACTCTTGGCCTGAGATGCTCAAACTGAAAGATTGGCCCCCATCTAATTTATTTGAGGAGCGCTTACCACGCCATGGTGCAGAATTTGTCAGTGCCTTGCCATATTCGGAATACACACATCCCCGTTCTGGTCTGCTTAATGTTGCCTCAAAGTTGCCCGATAAATCCCTAAAGCCAGACCTTGGTCCTAAAACATATATAGCATATGGATTTTCTGAAGAGCTAGGACGTGGAGATTCTGTGACAAAGCTACACTGTGACATGTCAGATGCGGTATGATTTGTTTAATTGACTTAATGATAGCTTATTGGCTTTTCCTAGGAAAATAATACCTGTTGGTTGGTCTAGAAGTTAATTCCCAAGCCTGAACATTTGTTTATTAATCACTTCTGTAACAGCAGTACCCATGACATTTAAGTCATGTTTCTTTAACCAAATAACAGAATTAATTTCTACATGATTTCAATGTGCTGAGATCTTAGAAGTAGATTCGATTATCTAGGCTAGGCCATTGTATGATCACTTATATTCCTCCATAAGCAAAGGACACATTTCCATGAAACAGAAGTAGTAATTCCTTTTGGTAAAAACGGGAATAGTATTTAAAAAGTTCCATGTATTGAAAAGTTGTGAAATTCTTGAAAACTAACATAGTCTGTGCTTTTATGTCAACATGTATCGGTATACTGGTTTTGATTATCTTTATTTGTTATGCATTTGTCATTAAATACCATCCTTTTTCATTAGATGTCATTATACTTTCCAGGTGAATGTGTTGACGCACACTGCAGAAGTGGCCTATGCACCTCAGCAGCTTTCAAAAATTAAAAAATTGAAAAATAAACATGCTGCCCAAGACCAAGAAGAAATTTTTGGTATAGTTCCTATAGATAATCAAGAGGCTGAGAAGCACGTCCCAGACTCCAATGGGAAGTTCAAATCTGAGGGAGCTAACAGTAGCTCATGCGGTGAAGATTATTGTGCTGAGGTTATTAAAGCTGGAGACAAGGGGGAAGATGCTGACATTTTGGGTAAAAATGGAAATAACAATATGCAAGATATCATATTTGATGAAATAGATCGAGTTTCTAGTTTGCCTTCAGAAAAGAAGACAAAGAACAGGCAGGGAAGAGGAGTTGGGCGAGGTAGTAAGAGGAACAGAGGAAATATGCATAATAGATTGGATGTTGAGTCTGAAGATTTGTTGACAGAGACTGGTAATGGTATTGAATCTCTGAATGAAGTGGGTATTAGAAATGTGGAAAATGATAGGAAAGTAGGACAGAGTGATACTAATCTCTCAGATCATCATTGTTTAACAACTGATGTCCACCAGCAAGGAGAGTTTTCTGGCGGTCCAACTGCAGTTTCTGAAAACAGATTGAATGGGTTGGAGACAGCAGAGGGAGGTGCTGTCTGGGACATATTCCGTCGACAAGATGTTCCCAAGCTGCAGGAATATCTTAGAAAGTACCACAGAGAATTTAGGCACATCTATTGTCGTCCAGTAGAGCAGGTAAAAGTGATTCCGTCATGAAGAATATGCATTGGATAATATCCCGATTGCAATGTGAAGTCACAGTAGGTTTTGTGTCATGGATGTTATGAACTGCCTTCAGGTGGAGATTTATGCAGAGAAATTTGTTTTTGCTTGTTCAGTGTTGCATCTGAATGTAGGCACACCTTATATACTGTCAATTATATTATGAGTCCTCTAAACAAGCAGGCTTTGTTCATCTTGTGAACATGGTGGTGTGACAGCAGCTATGTAGTTTTTATACAAGTTCCACGGCTATTTGTTATCTGAGAAACATTTTTGGTGTGCGAGTAAATTTGTTTTGCGCCTTGGTTGCTGACATCATGCTTGTTATATTATCACTATTTTTTTCAAATTCTATTTTTCAAATTAAATACTTGAAATTGGAAACAAGAAAATTTTGTGCATAACAAAATTAGCTTTTTATATTTATTTTTATTTTTATTTATAGCTTTGAGTTGTTCACCAAGCCGAGCTTTTGAGTTCCCAAGTGTAGCATCAACTTCTGTGTGATGCTTGAACAGACTGATACTCGCTCAGCTTGGCTCCTTTACTGTCCAACTTACTCAGACCACAGTGTTACAAGAAGAAAACCACTCAACGCATGACTTAAATATATTTTAATTAATTTGAGGAAATTAGTTTTGTAAACGTAGTGTTAGCTTTGCCTTTTACCTAGCCCTAAATTGGTAAATTACTCATGTTTGTTATTTCCACAAGGTTAAATTTCCGCTGTGTGCAACATCACATTTTATAATGTTTACTGGATAACAGTCGAGGGTGCATCATATATGCTTATTGTCTTTCCTTCTGCTGTTTTAGATTTCCTTCTCATATCTGTATATTAGCTTGTCTAAATTGTTTTCTTGTAATTGACCCTTGGGATACCTCACCTTTATCCTTTTTGTTTCTTCTTCGTCATCTATGGAAAGGACTTATTTCTTCAAAAGTGTGCTTTTTCTATTTCCTCTAAAATTTGTCTTACGACCGTCACTGTAAGTAACAAAGTAATTACCTCACTCTCTGCCCTAAAGTATTCTAGTGTTAGATTGTTTTATTTCATAGTCATTGATCTGTAATCAGTTTGAGTAATTGGATTCTAGTTTTAATCAATGTAGTTTTATCTTTCAATGAAATTATAGTTTAAAAAAAGTTTTGCATAATAATTTATATTTATCTAATTTTATAGGTGGTTGACCCTATTCATGATCAGACTTTCTACCTCAATTTGTATCATAAGAAAAAGATCAAAGAGGAATTCGGTTAGTTGTTGTTTATCAAAGCTTTGTTGACTTTGTGCTTTGTTTCTTTCACTATTATTCAGAGCAATAATTCACTTGAATGCTTAATGCAGGAGTTGAACCTTGGACATTTGTGCAAGAACTTGGAGAGGCTGTCTTTATACCTGCTGGGTGTCCTCATCAAGTCAGAAATCTTAAGGTAGGCCAGTCATAGAATTTTTTTTGTTTATGCATTAGTTCATGAAACCTTTGTTTAGGATGTGGAGACTATAGTACTATCTGCCATCTTTATATGACTAGTGAGAACATTTATTATCCTACGAGTATTGGCCTTTTTCTTGAAAGTATGTGTACATTTTGACCACGTGGTTCTTTCAAGCATATAACTATTCCATCAAGGTGACTCTTTTAAACATTTATTCAATTTGACTGACATTTTAGGCATTTTTTCCCCTTCAGTATCTGAACCTCCATGCTACTAAAGGAGTCTTTCCAGAACACACAACTTTTAGGACCTTCTCAGTTTAATGCTCTCTGGCGTGTTTCATGATTTCCCAAATGAGAGCATTTAGATACCTCTCCATTCTGACAAAGACCGCTATATACCCCGAGGCTGGTTCATTTAATTTCACTTGCAATAAAGGAATTGTTGGAAATATGTGTCGTAGGAAATAAAAGTCGATCCATTTTATGCAACTGTAAACTTTTTAAATCAGGAATGAATAAAGAAAAATATACATGCATGCATGGTTACGTACACAAGTTTTTTATATATTCATGTAGCCTACCAGTCAATTTCTTTCAAGCATATAACTATTCCATCAAGGTGACTCTTTTAAACATTTATTCAATTTGACTGACATTTTAGGCATTTTTTCCCCTTCAGTATCTGAACCTCCATGCTACTAAAGGAGTCTTTCCAGAACACACAACTTTTAGGACCTTCTCAGTTTAATGCTCTCTGGCGTGTTTCATGATTTCCCAAATGAGAGCATTTAGATACCTCTCCATTCTGACAAAGACCGCTATATACCCCGAGGCTGGTTCATTTAATTTCACTTGCAATAAAGGAATTGTTGGAAATATGTGTCGTAGGAAATAAAAGTCGATCCATTTTATGCAACTGTAAACTTTTTAAATCAGGAATGAATAAAGAAAAATATACATGCATGCATGGTTACGTACACAAGTTTTTTATATATTCATGTAGCCTACCAGTCAATTTATGTTTTATTTTTGCTGGTTTTCCTTGAACTAGGTTTCTTATAATCTCTATAGTTTCTAATATAAGGGAGAGTATATGTGTTAGAAATTGGACAAGATTTTCCAGGTTTCCTTGAACTAGGTTTCTTATAACTTCTATTGTTTCTAATAGAAGGGAGAGGATACGTGTTAGGAAATTGGACAATATTTTCCTTGTTTCTGTTGTATATTCTTTTACATTTTAAAGATTTTCTTGGGAAATGAAAATGTAAATTTTATGATCTAATTAAACAAAACCGTAGAACAATTCTTAGTTAGATTTCATTTTGGGGAAATTTTTGCAATGTGTACAACTATAACCCCCCGGTATGTATTTTCATTTTGGAATTCGTCATTTGGTGATCTTATTTGTATGACTCTTTTTTAAACTTTCTTCTTTTTATCATCTGCAGTCATGTATTAAGGTTGCTCTTGACTTTGTTTCACCTGAAAACATTGGCGAGTGCATTCGTTTGACTGAGGAATTTCGTGTTCTTCCTGAGAATCATAGTGCCAAGGAAGACAAACTAGAGGTACGCTGTCTTGTTTCCTGAATAACACTATATTGCCTAAAGGTTTTTTCTTTCTACTACCTTCTTTTTCCTGCTTGGGGTTTATGGGACAACGTGACACATCTAGAGGTTTGGTGGAATCTTGATTGTATTTTTTTTTCCAATACATTATATATAGAATCCTCAAGACTTTGGCCACATCTGGCCAGTAAGTCGGTTGTGAAGTCGTGGGAGCAATACTGTTTCCTCAGCTAAGGTTCTGCTAGACTTTTACATTCTTTTAAGCAAATTTTGAGAAGCATTTGGCTAACGGGTGTATTTGGCTAGAAGGGATCTGGACAAGCTTCCGGCTAATGGGAGATGAATTTGCTTAGATCGATGACTTGGGAAATCCTATTTTGACAGTTAGAATTACTTATAGCTTCTAAGTTAGCCCAGGCTGTCTCCCTAAATTGTGCTTTACCTTACTCATCTGCTTTCCTAAAGCGGTGATCAAACTTCCGAACCTTTAAATCCTTAGTGTGCCTCTCAAGATACCCAAGTTACAGATTTCTCAGTTGCTGTTTGCTATCTCTGTCCATATATTGTAGCATACAGGATTAACCTTCTATATCCCAATTCTACAGTAGCTATTTTCTTGCATTGCTGCCTTAACATATTATGCTTGCATAAAGCAGGTGCTGCAATGGCGAATTTGCATTTTAATTTGATTAAAAGATTCTTTGTAAACGAGAATATTGCAGTTTGTAATAGATGTTTGTTAGAGTAGGTCAATACAGTCTATAACTTGTTAGTTGGGGTAACCTTTGAACCAAATCCTCTGTTGCCTATCCATCCGAGAATGAATTTTGTGCAGCTTTTGGAGCAATATGGTTAATTGCCTTATATATTGTTACGACAAACAGCTGCAAACCAAGAAACAATCACGGAACACGACTAAAACAAGCACCACACAAGACACAAAGATTTATGTTGTGCGACACAAGTTGTGCCTACGTTCATGGAAAAGATCCGGTGAAAGACTTCACTATGTGAAAATCAGGAGATTATAAGTTTCAGTCCCCAAACCCTGCGATTTTCAGTGTTCTCTCGTTAACCCACTCCAAACCCTAAACACCCTTATATACCAGGCTGCAAGAGAGTTCTAAATAGGGTCCACGAGCCGCAAGTAAAAACGGGTCACTTTCTGGTCAAAACAGCAACCTGGGCCAGAACAAAATTCAGGCCATAACATCACATATCTGTGTATAGGTCAAAGGCCATTGTATCTTTTAAATATTGGCCATTTCACTTCTTGAATAGCTTTTGGCATATGCATTGTGATAATCTCATACCTGTTCTGCATTTTTGCTTGGTGCAGGTAAAAAAGATGTCTCTCCACGCATTAAGTCGAGCTGTGGATGATTTGGAGCAGCTTACACGGTGAGTATAAGCTAACTTGAATTCTTTCTTAGTGCATTTCCTTATTTCCTTTTCCCTTGTGTTTTGCTTGCTATGCTATTTCCCCAGTTTTCATAGCCTTCAACATAACTCTATGCAACATAATTCCAAGTTTGTTGCCTGAATTTCATTATCTTAAATAAGAAAATTGGAATATATATATATATATATTGATGAGAAATAATTGTTTACCATTTTATCAATTTTGTTTTGTTATTATAGCCCTCCTTATTAGTATTCCATCTTCTCGAAATTTGCCATATTAATATTTCCATGTCATGTATTCGTATCACACATCCTTGTCCATGCTTCATAGATATAGAAAAGACTAAATTTACAATAAAATGGCTTTGTGATAGATAAAACTTGAATCATTTCGTCATAGGATGAGATATAATTGTTAAAGCAACACGAGTTAGTTTGCTCTTTTTCTATATCTGCTACGGAGTTTGTCTTTCTTCTTTTAGTTTGCATCAGGTGTAACAAATGCACATTTCACCTAATCATGGAACCAATATGTTTTGGCACAATGTTATTCTTCTCCATTAATGTCCATATGCTCACAAGTACCACATCACATGGAAATGTCAATACCACAACAGTCTTGAGAAAACAATTTGATGTTCTTTTTAAGTTTTGGGGACTTCATCCTGCCATTTAGTTTTGTTTAAGGTTGGTGATAATTTGTTGGAGACGTCGGTTTGAGTGAATATCAATGGTTTTTCATTTGTTAAAATGTTGCCACGGATCTCATGGATCACATAAACTTCTCTGTGGTTGTGAACCTAGTATATTAGCTGCTACGATAATGTTTTTACTGATTTTTATTTTCCAGGTCTTAGACCACTGAAGTTCAGGCATCACTATCGAAAACTTCATTGCAAAGTCCAGACTCATGTCAGCCGTCACAAATATCTCCCTCCATCTTCCCCAGCATCTTCTTCACATTCCACCTGAATGTTTGACTTCATTTCTGGAAGATCGAAGTCCATGTCAGTACTGAAAACTAGAAATAATTTGAATCTGCAGTGTTTTTTTTATTTATTTTGCTCGGTCTGGTTTTGGTGGTTGTATCACTTGTTGTGCAATATGCCCTGCTTTTGTGCGGCGCCCCTGGATGATTGTCCTTTACCAGGGCCTTTTTTTGGTACTGTGTTGCAATTTAAAAGGTAGAAAAGTTTTGTGTTCTCTCCTCTCTAATGGTGTAGTCTGAATATTCCCCCCCCCCCCCCCCCCCCCCCCCCCTCCCTCTTTTTTTTCCCTGAATATTATCAATTACTGATCCCTAAACTACTCAGTTTCCCAGCTCGGTGAATGTTTTGGGCTTTTGGGCCTAGCAAAATAATCCTGCGTTCAAGAGGTTTGAGATTGCTAAGCATTTTATTTTATTTTTTGGATTCAGCAAAGTGAACTACACATAAAATGGCAACCAAACAAAGTTTTGTACAGCTTTGTGATTTTCAAACAATGAAAAAACTAAAAACCAATTTGCCCAATAATTATCAATTAGTATCGCACGTGGTACCCATCATGGGGAACAAAAAATCAACATGTCCTCTCTTCCACACAAGTGTATGGATAGTAGAGACTGCTTTACTCCAAGTGTACACAGAGAGAGAGAGAGAGAGAATGGTGTTCATCCATCTATCATATTCACTCTGGATCCTTCACGAATGACATGGATAATCGAAAGACAAAAATCAGTGGAAAAGTCCAAAATGAGAGGAACTAGAAGCATCTCATTTCTCTCCTATTTAAATTGCCCCCAACAACATTTCCCTCCAATATATATATATAGATATACTAAATGCCTCAGAAAACAGAAGCAGCACAAATCCATCAATTTTGAACATTCAAAACTATTGCCCAAATCTAAATTGCTGGCGCCAAGTGAGCAAAGCGAATGTCACCTGCTCTCTCTCTCTCTATCTCCAACTTCCCCATCTGCAAATCTCAAGACCTTTCAAAGGAAACCCACCTCCCTAAAACCACAAACAGAGAAAACCCATGTCAGAAAATACCTCTACACAACAAACTCAACAGGCGGAAGCTGTTGAAAACCACTGGCTTGGGCCTAATAGGAGGAGCTATAGCTCAACCTGCAAGAGCTGAAACAGAGGCCCCAATTGAATCCACTTCAAGTAGAATGTCATACTCGAGGTTCTTGAAGTACCTGGATGAAGGTGCTGTCAAGAAGGTGGACTTGTTCGACAACGGGAACGTGGCGATTGCTGAGATACTCAATCCGGCAGCACTCAACAGAATCCAGAGAGTGAAAATACAGTTACCTGGACTGCCACAAGAGCTGCTGAGGAAACTCAAAGAGAAGGATGTGGATTTTGCAGCTCATCCAATGGAGGTTAACATGGTAGCTGCTACACTAGACTTGTTGGGGAATTTGGCTTTTCCTTTGATTTTGCTTGGCTCTTTGCTCTTTAGAACATCTTCAAATGCCCCTGGAGTGCCAAACTTGCCGTTTGGACTTGGAAGGTATGGTAAAAAAAATACTGCACTTTTTAATGCATATATGATATGAATATCTAGTAAATATGCTTAAAAATAAAATTCCTCATCATCTAGCCTTAATCCCATATAAATGAGGTAAGTTCTTTCTCTCCAATTTATTATACGTCATTTCACTTGCTATATTTAACTTCTTAAAGTCATTTTTAATAACCTCATCCCATGTTATTTTTGCTACCCTCTCCATCTCTTATCTTCTATTACAACTAGTCTTCCTTGTTTAACTGGCACAGTCTCTAGGTCTCCGATATGTGTCCAGACCATCTACGTCTCCATTATATGCTTAAAAATAAGATTGTTTATACTCAGATTATTATCACCATAACTGCCACATAGTCCACCTATTTTTCAACACAGTTTTTTGGCTGTTAATTTACAATAATATGATCTAAAAAGCAACATTATTCACCATTTGATTGATTATTAGTTATTAGTATAGGTAGAGTTTTAGCATCCTAATGATGTTAAACACTCATTTGCTAACATTGTTTTTACTACCTATCCTGACAGAAGCAAAGCCAAATTCCAGATGGAACCCAACACTGGAGTGACATTTGATGATGTAGCCGGAGTTGATGAAGCAAAGCAAGATTTTCAAGAGATTGTTGAGTTCCTAAAAACCCCAGAAAAGTTTACTGCAGTTGGGGCCAGAATTCCTAAAGGAGTGCTGTTAGTAGGGCCACCCGGGACCGGGAAGACATTGTTGGCTAAGGCCATTGCAGGGGAAGCAGGGGTTCCTTTCTTCTCTCTCTCCGGTTCGGAGTTCATTGAGATGTTTGTTGGTGTGGGAGCTTCAAGAGTGAGGGATCTATTCAACAAGGCTAAGATGAATTCGCCATGTTTAGTTTTTATCGACGAGATAGATGCTGTAGGAAGGCAGAGAGGAACCGGCATTGGCGGTGGAAATGATGAAAGGGAGCAAACACTTAACCAGCTACTCACAGAGATGGATGGGTTCAGTGGAAACAGTGGAGTCATTGTCGTTGCTGCTACTAATAGACCTGAAATTCTTGATTCAGCTTTGCTTAGGCCTGGAAGGTTTGATAGACAGGTTAGTTGTCACACACTCATATTCACTTGCTTCACAATTCTGATATGTTACTCTAAATCGTTGACACAGTCCACATTGAGGGTAATAGTAGGAGAAGAGGAAGACCAAAGTTAACATGCATAGAGTAAGAAAGATATGATAGGCATGTGGATTGACAGAGGCTATGGCCTTAAATAGAGTGGAATGGAACCACAGGATTCATTTAGCCAACCCCAAATATTTGGGAAAAGGCTTGGTTGTTGTTGTACTCTAAATAGTTGACATGCTAATTAATGAAGGTTCAAAAGCAAACACTCAAGTCAATATTTAAAATACTGATCTTTTTTTGGTTGTTGCTGAATCAGGTGAGTGTTGGACTACCAGATGTGAGAGGGAGAGAAGAAATACTAAAGGTACATAGCAAGAACAAGAAGCTTGACAAGGATGTCTCCCTTAGTCTTATTGCCATGAGAACCCCAGGCTTCAGTGGTGCAGATCTAGCAAACCTCATGAATGAAGCGGCGATTCTTGCAGGTCGGAGAGGCAAGGATAAAATCACTTTGAAAGAGATCGACGACTCAATTGATCGAATTGTAGCAGGAATGGAAGGAACCAAGATGACAGACGGAAAGAGCAAGATTTTAGTGGCTTATCATGAAATTGGGCACGCCATTTGTGCGTAAGTTCACCACAGAGTGCTTGTATTTTGATCCTGGATTGTTTCTTAGAACTTAAAGAAACAATGTGAGCTTTCTCAACTCTATATGGTTTGCTATTTGCAGGACACTGACTCCAGGACATGACCTAGTACAGAAAGTCACACTCATTCCTCGGGGCCAAGCTCGTGGACTGACATGGTTCATACCTGGTGAAGATCCTGCTCTCATCTCTAAGCAACAACTATTTGCTAGAATAGTTGGAGGGCTTGGAGGCCGAGCAGCCGAGGAAGTGATTTTTGGCGAATCAGAAATCACTACCGGTGCAGCAGGAGACTTGCAACAGATTACTCAGATAGCCAGACAGGTTTGTGTCATCTTTCTATAACTTTGGAATATAAACATAAAATGCTAATATAAATGAATCAATAAGGCTAATGGTTTTTTTTTATCCTAGCAGATGGTTACAATGTATGGAATGTCTGAGATTGGACCTTGGTCATTGACTGATCCAGCAGTACAAAGCAGTGATGTGGTATTGAGAATGCTAGCAAGAAACTCAATGTCAGAAAAGCTCGCAGAAGACATTGATGAATCGATACGAACTATTATTGACAGTGCATGTGAAATTGCAAAGACGCATATAAGGAACAACAGGGAGGCGATTGATAAACTAGTGGAGGTGACATTAGAGAAGGAAACTCTGACTGGAGATGAATTTAGGGCTATTCTCTCAGAATTTATTGACATTCCGTTGGAAAACATAAGCAGAAAACCTGTCCGCGAAATGATCGAAGCCTAAGCAACCCTTTAAGTATAGTTATTAGCTAGTTTAGTTCATTTTAAAATACCGTAAATACAAGGACAGTATAGTAAAGCAGTATAAAAAGGAACAGTTTTTGCATGATGTTTAGCTCTATGTAACTTGGAATAAAAGCTTGGAATGTGACAAGCACTTCCAATTGACTATGAAATCAAATGAGTAACGCAGTTCACAGAATTGGAATTCATTGTTTAGTTGAGGAAGACAAGTTCATTATCAGAGCTGGTAAAAACGAGCTTGCATATACAAAAAAAATGGTTAGAGGGACCAGTAGAGGCAATCAAAATGGATGAGTCTATCATGACAAAGAAAAACACGTGAATTTGTATAAAGATTTGTGTGTGTGTGTGTAGGTTGCAGCCTGTTTCTGAAACATTCATTGAGATTCATGAAATAATTCATTCCACTGCAAGGACTTTAAAGCTCCTTTGTTAAATTAACTTATGATAAGCTGAAATTTGGATCTCATTGTTAATACTTTTCACATATATCTTAACTGTGTTTTATAGCATAGACAAATACATGGATAATTTTTACATTTACATGGATACAACGAGACTCAAGACAGATTCTTTTAGAGAAACAGAAGGGAAGAAGGAGATGAAAACAAAGAGAGTGGAGAAAACCTGAAACATACGTATCTATACTTGCTGAACCGAATTCAAGATTTAAGAACTTAAGAAAGTATCAACCCTCGCATTTGTTCCCCTTGACAGAAACTTCATGCAGATGGGTGGATTCACACCTGCCAAAGCAAGAATCGAACTGGGCAGAGTCCATACCCCATCACCACAGATCAACCCAGAAGCCACAGCGGGTGCAAAAGCATCAGCCTTGGCTTTGTTTATCTTCTGCCAAACAAAAAGTATCAAGCTCCCAACACACATATCAATAGTAAAGTATGATCCAATATAGAATGGTATTGCCATTGCCATGGGAAGAGGAATAAATTTTGCCCTCTCCTTCCCCACAACATCTCTGATCGCATTGACAACAGCTGCTGCAATAAAGAACACATAGCAAAGCGTAAGGCAGTGTTCTGGCAGAGCTGAAAACCCTTCAACCCCCAAGATTGAAATGTTCCGGTATATACTAGCATAAGGGGCAGGGTATTGTGAATCAGGGATCCCGAGATCATGGAATGCCTTGTAGAAGAGCCAGAAGACACAAGGGGAAATAACACAACCCATTGCAGTCCCAATAACTTGGCTCACAAACATAGAGCGGGGAGAAGCCAGGGTCAGATAGCCTGTCTTGAAATCCTGCATAAGGTCAGATGCAGTGCTGACTATGTTCATCATGACCCCACAAGCTGCTAAACCTGCAAGGACTCCACCATGAGAGGCTCCTGCCCATGCTCCGATTATGAAGATTGCCAGCTTTCCATAGGTGGATGCTAAGGACCAATCGGTGAGCCCACATCCATAAGCATTGCAAAAGCCTAGTGTGGGCGCAAAGATGTAAATAACCACAATATAGTACCATTTGAGTTGATGGAAGATGTGTGGAATTGTTGCAGCAGAGATAATGGCAATAGTGATATAGCCAACAATTGCAAACCATGTTGGAATTTGGTCCTTGAGAAAGAGTTGTGTACGACGCTGGTCATCATAAGATAAAGAATTCAGAGGAGGAGAGCGACCATCGACTGGGAGGACGGTGTCTAAATCTTTATTCCGTATTTGATGATACAAACCGAAGAGAGTGCGACCAAAGACTTTCAAAAAGTTGTAGAGGCCATCGCCAAGGATCATGGCTATGCCAATGAATATCTGCAACAAAAGGAACGACAAAGAAAAGATTAAAATCCTGGTTACATTTTGGTACCTAGGCTAAGAGCAAGAAAGTTACCCTGTAACCTTGCAGGCCATGGAGGCTACTTGGCTTTGTGTCTGCAGGGTACCACTGGCCCTTCCTGTCCTGTATGAGAGGCCACATTATCCCCCATGAGAGAATTCCTCCAAGTAGCAATGATATGTTGACCAGATATGGACAGATCATCCCAACACCAACATAAGTTGCTGAGAAATCAAAGAAAAACCTGATTTTTTTTTTTTTTTTCAGGAAAAGAAGAAGATCAATATACTTGAGTAAGATCATTATACTTGAATGGGAAACATGAGAGATCGGAAAGTAATGAGCTCAAGAAGTTATTTTGATAACTACACTTTTCAGGTTGTTTTAGAGTATAAAAAATCGAGGAATTTAATACAGAAATGCATTGAGAATAAGTACTTGTTTTTATAGGCTTTGAGACCAAATGTGGGAAAGCTCACAAATCCACAATCATCCCCTGCAGTGAAGAACCACTGGAAGAAACCCCACAAGAAACTGAATGAGAAGAATTTGCCCAGAGCTCTGACTTGTTTCCTAGAGTTAAATGATGAATATAATGAGAAAGAAAGATGACTTGTTCGTAAGATTGTGTAACGAAATGGAATTTTGCATGGACTCACTTTGCTAGCTTGGCTCCTTTAGGAGTGTGGAAGCTGTTGATAAGGTGAGCAGTTGCAGTGCCGCTTGGATAAATTAGTTTGAAGTCTATGATCATTACCTGCAACAGGTTATATACATAGATTGAATCGGTTGAGTGAAAAAGGAAACATGCTACGTTTGCGTCTATTAAGATCTCTAGGAGAAGAGAGGTCCCACTCATAGTTGACAATATAAAAACCCTGTTGTTTTCTGGTAAAAAAAATCTTTGTACATTCATAAGTAAATGCATATAAAATGAATGAAGTCAAAGATAAAACAAACTTCGGAACAGGTGATAGTCATAATATATATAAACAAAGAGAAACTGTAATTTCATCTGTATACATTAATATAGTTGAGTTTTAAGAATTTACCTTTCGAAGAGGTACCACGGAAAAGAGTCCAAGAAAGCTGACAACTAAAAGAAATCCAATCATCCATACCAAAGACGGGTTTTTAATATTCTGTGCATTGTTAGCTTCAGTTGACTGTTTGGCAATAACTTCACTCATGCCAAAAAGGTAACTACCAAAACCTCCTGCTCATTGAAATTGAACAAAAAAATGTGTTAATGATCAGACAATATTGGCAGTCCCTGTAAAGTAGAAGAGAATTGTATATCATTATGTATATAAAATATTGCATTCAATTGGAAATTTCCCGGACTTAGAACACATAAAATGCTCAAGCATTCACTGAAATTAGTAGACACATCACTCAATAAAAATTGCCTAAATTATATCAGAATGTTGAATTGATCTGGGCATTTTCTATTGCAATCCAATCTAGACAACTTCACTTCACTTTTCAAACCAGAGCTGATGTGAAGACTTGGAATATGGAGATCGTGTTTGATTAAGGCAAGGGTAACTTGATGAATCTAGTCTTGGTTTTTTTTTTTTTTTTTTTGAAGAGACTCAATCTAAAGCATGTTCTATTACCACTACCGTACTATTTTCGTGAGCATCTATTATTAGCCATGGTGGATGATAATATAGTTTGGCAACATCCAAAACAAAAACTAAATTGGTGAGAAATAACATGATTCAGATTTTAAAAAGAGAAAGACCAAAATTGAAATTGATTGAGTTAGCAAAGAAAGATACAATAGCATTTTAGATAGAGTAGAAAGATACAGTACCATGTTAGTTATAAACGAATGAGGAAATACAATTCATGCAGCAGTTCAAAGAGTTGGGAAAAGTTAGTGGTAAGAGTTTGTTAGAGTTAATGTTAACATTTGTTATAATGAATTCACATATATATAATACAAACACTTCTGGAAATAAAACTTGTATTCTCACATGGGATAATTTGATAAATAATATTCTAAACCAAATTATTACATAAGGTAATTTAATTACCCATGTCACACTAACAGTTAAGTAAATAATTTAATTTTAAAATGATTAAAAATATATATATCGTCTTAAAGCAATGTTGGTAGGCATAAGATGATCAAAGAAAGTGCTCAAGACACTGTTGAGACACTTGTCGAAAAAATTAAAACTTAATAATTCTACAAATTAGGAAATTATTTATAAATTATTTAGTGTGAAAGCTTCCGATATTGAAGCTCAAAAAAAGGCGGTGAAATAGTGGGCACACCATTCAAAAAACAGGTGTTCAAGAGTCAAAACATTCATTAAATTATTGGTTTCCTCTTTTATTTATTAAAGTCATATATATATAGAGTTTAAGAGTCAAACATTTACTAATTCATCTGCTCCATCCATCAATGATCTATAGATAATTGAACGAATAGTCAAAAATGAATCCGTAGATACGAATCAAAATTATGTCAAGATGGCCCACAGTGAGGAAAATAACTCACGGGTTTTGCCTCCTGAATACGGTTCAAGGGAGAGTGACAGAGAAGAAAGTTGCTGACTTTTGAACAAAGTGTGAGAAGACGTATTTTTGCCCGCATTCTGGAAGGTCCCACTTGCATAGAATCTTAATGAAATGGGACCCACTTCGTAAGATTTATTGATTTGTCGTTTAGTCGGGAAGGTGAACTTTTAATTTAATATAGATTGGACCACCACAAGTTACTTGTCCTGTTGGAGTATGATTTATTGATTTGTCCATTAATTTCCTCCAGTTGGCATCAGGTGGACAAATACTCATGTTTCGGGTGATCCTAAGGTATCGACGGTGATCACGTGGTCCCAAAATTTGTGACAGCTAATTTTCCACTACTCCACTCCATGGCCATCATCTTCCCTAGCACACACTCTTTACAAGATAATTAGTCTATGCCCCTTATTTTAGTCTACTTTAAACTTAGATCCTACTTTTCAAACATAATGTTATTATAACTCGTACAATTATTCAACATCATAGTCATCTCTGTAACAAACACTCTATACTACACGGAGTATTTGGTAAGAGTAAATAAGGGTTTTGTAAAGAGGAACAAATAATTTTACATTTTAGAGAAGAAATATATATATTTCAACCAATGAAGACAGATAATAAGAAGATCCAAAAGTAAAACAAACGCATAGTCATGTATTATTTTATTTGTAAATTAAAAGTTGAGCTTCCCGACTAATGATATGCTCAAAATTTACTTAAAATTCGAGATTGCTCTTAGAAAATTTAATACAGATTGGACCACCACAAGTTACTTATCCTATTGGAGTATTTAATAATATCGTCTAATTTAGATTTAGACCCCAATTTTTCAAGCAAATTCTAAAACACACTTGTTACTTTTCTTTTTGGCTTTTTGCCAACTACTTGTAGCAGTTAGGGATGTCAATTTTTACCGCCTCGCCGGGGCCCCGCCCCGTCCCACCCCGTTAATAATGAATATGGGAACACTTGTTATACCGTTGGGGCGGACATGAATACAAATTTTGTACCCGTCGAGGGTCACGGGGCGGGTAAGGGTTCAATATACATATCCTAGGGGCCCCGCCCCGCCCCACCCTGCATATAACTATAAGTTATTTTAGCGGCTTACCCAATTACCCATCTCTTATAATCCTAATTTGGGATATAAACTTGGTATTAAATTTGCTTTTGTTTTGGTTATGGTGGAAGTTGGAGCTTAGAACTTCTTGTGATTTGGTTGTATTAAACTTTTATTTTTGTTTATTATGTTCTCTGAATTATATTATGTGCATGTTATTTTTTATTTATTTATTAGGATATATAATTTTATTTATGTGATGTCATTTCTAGGCTTTGCACATTTAAATAGCAGGAGTTTAAGTTCCAAAAAGTGGGAGAAAAAAATTTGTTAGTGGGGCGGGCACGGAGGCACAGTATTTCCTAACGGGACGGGATTGGATATGAAAATCCAACCCGTCGCGGGTCTCGGGCCGGATATGGACTCGATAAAAATTAAAAGGGGCAGGGCGAGATTTAGAGAAACCCGCTCCAAACCCGCCCCGTTGCCATCCCTAGTGGCAGTACATGCCAAATAGAACCAAAAGATGCCCAGGAGCATACAGCGTTTATAACCGTCGGATTCGTAAATTGCAACACGTCACCGGTGATGACGGCATGCCAGAGACGTGAATATATATAGATATAGAAATAGATACAGATAGAGAGAGAGGGGGGGAGTAGGTAGATACCGCTGAAGGCGATGCCGGAGGAGGCGACGACGCAGGTCTGAATGACGGTGTTCTCTTGCCTGGTGAATGGCTGCTTCAACAGGCCCGATTTGGAAAGGAACTTGGTCCAGGTCTTGATGAAGAAGAACCCCAACAGACCAGCCGAGACGTTGAGAGAAGGAATTAAACCGGTGGTCAGATTCAGCTTCATCACTATGAAGGTGAACATTATCGACAACACAAAGCTCACGAAGAAAGCCCTCAATGTCAATTGACTCTGCCATGGCGGTACCTCCTTCGACTCGAAGATCCTCTCCACCGATTTGAACTCTTCTTCCTCTCCTCCACTACTGTTCGTCTTGTTGTGCTCTGTCTCGATTGAGAAGGCCTCTCCGGCAAAGGCGCCGTTATCGGCGGCGTCAGTTTCTTCTCTTCTTCTGGTTGTTCGCTCCATGTCTGTGACAACTAGCGACTTGCGGCTATCTCACTCACTGTGTGTACTATGTGTGTGTAATTGTTTGTGTATATATTGAGAGAGAGAGGGAGGGAGAGAGAGAGAGAGCTGTCGTTATTAGGGGTGTGAAGGTGTTGGTGGTTTGTGTGGAATGATGAGGCTTTGATTTTGAATTTTCTATGGTGGGTTGGAGATGAGTGAGGCGCGAGTGACGCGCGAGTCAGAATTTTTACAATCGCGTTTACACGGAGACACTAGTAGGAGTTTTCATAATGGAATTGGACCAATTAGATATTGATAGGCCCTTAGACAAGCAATAAATGCTACGGCGAAGGGTCATCTCATTTGATCACTAGTCACTACTGGTACACCCCATAAAAAAATGTCACTTTTACGTCATCGTAATTCTCACATATTAAATTATCACGATTCCCTAAACACTAGACTTTTTCTAGAATGGAGATAGTATATTTTAAAAGAAAAAGTCTGAAAAACTTAAATTTATGCGAATTACATCCTTTTTAGTTAGATTTATCTATATAAATTCATACTTAGATATAAAAATATGCAATTAAGCCACTTTCGGTGACTATTTTGGTAAGAATTGGATGCCAGATGATCATGTGCATGGCACATGACTATTTTAAAGCCTTTGTTTCGAAATTGCCCTTTTAATATTCTTTTACTATCCTTCACCGTGTATATATATATAGTATATATGGGTTTTGAACTTCTAATTCTAGTAGATTTTGTAGTTTGCAGTTACAGAGAGAAAGAAGGGGTAAGTTGAGGATGAGAATAGAGATGGAGGCGATTGGGGAGGCTGAAATGATTTGCCCTAAAAAAAAATTATGCAAAACAAGAATTATAAACTTGATTAGTTGATTTCGAAAAAAAAATTAAAACAAAACCCATACAAGTTAGCAGTTGCAGAGAGAAGGGGGGGAAGCTTGAGAGTTGAGAGACAGCGGCTGAAGCTTGCCAACGGCGAACCCGAACTAGAACAGCGGGCGATGGAAATTGAAAGATATGGGTTTTGATTTTTTAAAAAATCTGAAATGATATGCCAATATGGGTTTTGATATAGGTAATAGGTTTTAAACTTTTGATTCTTGCAGACAGGTAGATAAACTCAAGTATATGGGTTTTGAACTTCTAATTCTTGTAGATTTTGTAGTTTGCAGTTGCAGAGACAGAGAGAGGGTAAGTTCAGATTCTGGTGGTACGGTGGTGGTGGTGATTTTTTGTTGAAATAACACTCAAAAATCCTAACTTTGTCTTCAGATGATTGTTGTAACCAATTCTACCCACTCTCCCAAGCACACAACGAAGAGCCATGGATGGGTGGGTGCGTATGGATTGAGCGGCGGCGGAGGATGTTTTCAGGCGGTCGGATTTAGTTGTTGCGATGGATTGAACGGCGAACCCGAACTGGAACAGCGGCCAATGGAAACTGAAAGATATGAGTTTTGATTTTTTGAAATATTTGATATGATATGTCGATATGGGTTTTGATATAGCTAATAAGTTTTGAACTTTTGATTCTTGCAGATAGATAGATAAACTGAAATATATGGGTTTTGAACTTCTAATTCTTGTAGATTTGTAGTTTGCAGATGGTGCGCACGCGAGAGAGAGAGGGGGGGGGCAAGAACGAGAATAGAGATGGAGTATTGATAGAGGGTTATTTTAGTCTTTTTCTTATTTTTTGTTAATTTTTTTATTATTATTATTTTTAAATCATAGATAGAGGGCTTTTAGTCTTTTTGTAACTCCGGTTCCGGTCAATAGAGGTCAACGCCCAAAAGACACTACTCCACACCATTTTTAAAATATAAGAGAGGTGAACAAATAATAAGGAATTATACACACTATATCGATATCACATGAGTGTAAAGCGCACACGAGCCTATTTTAGATCTTTTGACATGTTTTTCACTTACAATCCAAAAACTATTTTTCAAATATGTAAGACCATTTTGTATATGTAAAATGACTTTATTACCCCCTTTTGACTCTGTTGACTAAGAATTGGAGTTGAAATAACTCGAATATCCTTTACTTTATAAATTTATAATTATTATTTATTTATATATATATTTACAATACCCTTTTCTAGCTCATTTGAGTCTCTTACGAGACTTAAAAAAAAAAAAAATTGTACTCCGTATTTTTTTAGCAGAGAAAAATTATACCAATGTAGCTCTATTCACCTTTTCTTTTGTACTCGTTGATTTTTTTTTTTTTTTTCTCTTTCAGAAGGTGCACTAACTGATCATATAACTAACATGAGGCATTTAACTGGGTCATTCTTCAATAATGAGACCCATACCCAGAATATGAAGCTTACTATATATATATATATATATATATATGTAAAAAACTTAGCAACTAAAACTTCTAATAATAAATCAGTAGCTATGTAAAACTAATGGTAGACCAATGAACCTTTTTTTTTTTTTGTGGTCGATTCCAACTTCAAAATGGAGACCGTAGACCCCAACCCCGTGCACCGTCTACATTTTGAAGTTGGAATCGACCACAAAAAAAAAAAGGTCGTTGGTTTACCATTAGTATTACATAGCTACGGATTTATCGTTAGAAGTTATATTCTTCTTCTTTCATCTATATATTTTGTCTATCTCTATTATTATTTTACTTTAATTAATCAATAGAGAGAAGGAAAGCTTGTGATACTCCCTAATTTTACAACACGGGTTGATCAAGTCCGCGCACAAAATCAAGAAAAATCAAAACAATTTTAGTATTTAACAAGCACAGAATACAAAGATGAATAATAAAGAATAAATAAACCGCTAAAGAAAACTAATAAATAAATATTACTTAATGATTCTCCAACATTTACAACTCGAAAATCCCATAACTCAAGTACACCTTAAAACATTATCCAATAATCCAATACTATTTAAAAGTACACAAGATGAATAGATAAATGTCAGTCTCCCAGCTGCGGATCCTCAACCTCGAGACTGGAACCTCTAATAATCTGAAAAATAAATCGTGGGTTAAGCCCTACGAGCAAGTTCACTCTACCAGGCCTCTGAAAACCAATAAGCAGATCATTTCTGATCAAACTAAACCTAATAAAGTTTTAACTTTAATAAAGTACGATATACATGTCTCTATATAATTATATATATTATACTAATCACATCCGTTAATAAGTTTATTAAATTTCCATACCTATTAAATAATTATTAAAATAATATTCATACCTAGACCAATCTACCATTTCATTTTTAAAAAAAACTCCTTTGACCTTAATCCCATCCTAGTCAGTTGTTTAATCATTTAAATAATAAATTATAATAAAAGGCATATTATAATTAATCCCAAAACCTGATGATGATTTTAACTAAATCACATATCCAAAATCTCAGCATTGGCAAATCATCCATATTTCCACCAATATTATTTTATTAATATATAATAATACACTAACCAGTAAGTACTAGATTATTCTAATTTAAGAATATATAACTCTAATCCAGTCTATAGATACAATAACTATAGATGATATTTTAATCATCTAACACATAACAATTTAATTACGCTTTGGCAAATTAACCATGCCATTATAAATATTTTTATTGATATATTGGCAACTCAATCATTCCTCCTTAAATATATTTATTTATACATTGGCAAATTAACCATGCCTCCACAAGTATATTTATTTACATATTTGGCAAATCAACCATGCCATTATAAATATATTTATTTATACATTGGCAACTTAACCATGCCTCATTTAAGTATATATATTTATACTTTCAAATTAACAATTCAACCATGCTTATGGCAGTTCATTCATGCCAACAATTCAACTATGTATCAACTTTAAATTTAAAAATAAATTAATTCACACATAACAATTTCATGCATATTATATGCATAAGATTAATTTAATAACCAACCTAATATAATATATCAAATAAGAATAATAATTTAATTATCTTAAATGATATATACATATACCCATATATTATATAATATATATATATATATATATATATGTATAATACCTTCAATAATAATCCTTGATTATTTAAAATCATATATACATATACATTAATGAATATATATATATACATATAATTCCTTCCATTCTACACATAAATTAATTAAATCATATATACACATATATAATTAAGTATATATATAACTCCTTCCATCACCAAACTATTAATTAATGACATTTACGTAAATTAAACGTCACTAAATATCGTCACAAATGTTTTCCCATAAATACTCCATATCAGTTTAAATAATTTTCCGATACCGTCTCCCTAAAACGCAATTATCTTCTAGTAGGATGGGAATCTGATAATGAAATTAGTACCATTGGAAAGAGGACGAAAAATCCTTGAATTTAAGCTCTAGAATGACCCAATTTCGATTTAAGCTGACTAAGTTATGACCGTTTTAATTTTATGTCACAAATAGGCAACATAATTGGATGGGCTTAAACACTACTGTGAGCGCACCCACACCGGATTAGCTCACTTGAGCTCACACAAATGCACCCACACCAGATTAGCTCACTTGAGCTCACATGTATGAACCCGCACCAGATTATCTCCCTTTCATCAATCAAATCAAACCGTTGGATTCCGCATGTGCATTAACATATCATGTACCGCAATGCACTGAATAAATCCATTAATATTTAAGTAATCTAATGGTCTAGATCAGTGTGCGCACCATTGCTCTATGTACCGCGCCACGGTGAATTGCTTCCCTATTGAGGCGCCACTCCACTAACAGTGTATATATATACATATATATATATTTCCAATAAATATATAAAAATAAATTCTAATAAATTACCAAAAATACCAGAAAAAATCAGAAAATTCCAGAAAATTTAACAAAAATTCCAGAAATTTTAGAAACATTAATTAACCCCTCTTGGGTCCAAATCCAGCCTATCTGTTGATGTAAACAAAATATACAACACATATATACAACAATAAAAATCTAAAATTCCAAAAAAAAAATATAATAATTCATATTTTAAATATTCCGTTCTAACCATCATTTAATCGATAAATTTAACCTTAGATTTTGATACTCAAGGTGAAATCCTTATGAGTTCTAAGAGGAAAGTTAGAGAAGAACTCCGAACTCGCAAGGTTTCAAAACGAAACCGAAGCTTTAAGCCTTGATTACCTCTTCCAAATCCGATGTCCTCTTTCTCTAA